GGAGCGCGCTCAGGTGGAGAGGCGCTTCCAAACAGACTCCAGGTGTCAGATTCTGCTGATGACGCTGCAGCATCTTGACCTTCTACGATCTACTGTGCACAATTGCCACTGTTGCAGCCATGCCGGGTTCTTCTGGGTCCAGAGTTAGAGGCAGAATTGTCATGAAGCGGGGCCAAGGCTTCTGCAATCGAAGAGTCCTCTAAGTGGGATCCGGCAAAATAGCGCAGGGCCGTCCTTACCTTGAAAGAGCATTGGTTTGCCTAGCATGCCTCAGGCAATCAAAATCATACTAGTAGCTTAGTAGTAGGTCAGGCAACAATCAATGTTCCGTCAACAAGGTTAGGGGAGGATGAGGAAGACATTCGAACGGCCCAGCAAATCAAGCGCCGGATTCTTTTACCCTTCTCCCAAAATCAGCATTTCGTTGACCTCGACAACTTTTTAGACAGTGCCGTCCACATCGAGCATGCAAAACTGTCTTGGCAGGAGGTAGGCGGTGCTTGGAGACACTTCGCCCACATCACATCATGGGTCCGCGCAGGATACTTCTTTACGAACGGAATTCGGTTGTTTGTTGATCGCATTTGTAGCCCATTGTTGCCCTGGTCATATAGTTCATCTGATTGACTTGCTTGTGAGCCCTCCGCTTGCTTTTGCATTTGTGCGCAAGCCTTCTGCATCGCACTGAGACCTCGCCTTCCGAAGCCTTGCGGCTCAGGTGTGGAGGCATCGGCCTGAACTTGACCGCCGCCAACCACGTGATCCACTTCGATCGATGTTACAATCCGGCAAAGGAAGCCCAGGCATCGGAAGCAGAGTGCCGACGTAGTTCTGCTCCTGTTTTTCGGGTACAGGCATCGAGTATGCGCATCTCCTAAACCCTAAACCCTAAACTAAACCTTGAGTGAGGTCCGACGAAACAAGAGTCAACAGTGACGGAGCTGTCAGGAGGTACATGTATTGTGAAAGTCGGAGATTGAGCCTGACCCCAAACCCCACACCCTGTGCAATTTCTTGCTCGGGCTCGGAATAATTTGCCAATTTTTTTTATCGTCGCATTCTACTGGAATATGCTCCCCCAAACCCCAGTCCGATCGTAGAGGCTGCTATGCTAGCCGACCTCACTACAAGGCCGATAAGCAATCCCACGAAACCCTGTACTATACACAAGCCTGCAGCTGGTACTAACGTTATGCTGTTTTTCGCCCCTTACAAGGTTACAGTATACTGTCCCACTGCCAAGCCCAACACCTGCAAGTCATGGAGACCGACAGGCTACCGACAGGTGCCACCGCTTGGGCCAGCAGAAAAGTGCCAGGGCCCCAGAGTCGTCTGAATCTACTGTAGTGTAGTAAATTTTATTATGGTATAGTATAGTACATCATACTAGAGTAAATTATTAATTGTATACCTGACTATATGATATTATATTACTTCACAAATTCTCTTCTTTAGGGTTCAGGACGGGTGAAGGGTTAACGGCCGACGATTTCCAGGCCTTGGAAAACTTCACCGTGTAGCAGGGTACCAGATAACAACTTGCGAAGTCCCGCGCGCACTAGAACTGCGGCAGCCTCATCTCTTCATGTACGTGCTTCGTACCTAACTAGGGTTATAGTAAGGGTAACTATACTTATATCCCCAATTAAGGTACTTATAACCTTACTTACTAGGTCCCATGATCCTCCAAGTACTGGTGCTATACCATGGTCGTTGTCGTGGTTACATGCCGAGGCGGCATGTGCCAGTACATTTTTTTTTGACTGTGGCTTGCTGTCATGTAACTTTAGCCTGCTGGACGGGTAGGCTTTTTAGTGACTCCGGCAACTTTGCGTTTACTCCCGGTTGATTTTGGTTCATATTGCACTGGGGTGTGAAGTTTGCATCGCACACCGCTGTTCTGTCAGACTTCCATTGCAATTGCCTATCAATGGCAATGCTATTGAACATCGTTCTGCCTAGTTGTAAGGCCAATGAATCCTTGCTTGCTGCCGGCTGCACCTGCGGGGCAAACGCCGCCCGCATCTCAGGTCTGCGTCCACCGCCTCATTACTGAAGGCACCTATGCAGCTTGGCACAGATGAGCCACTTGGGAGTTCATCAGGGTGCTCCCTTGTTAGAAATCCCAGAGCTTGTGTCGAGAAGCTTGCAGCGTCATTATGATCGAATTGGGTTCATGTCTACAGGTAGATACTGCAACTATTGCCCTTTACTCGACGATCGGAAGCTACTTCTACGCTTTAGAAGGCCTTTGGCCATTCGGTACTCCACTGCGTACTTGGAATGCTGACGGCGGTACTATCCATTATGGCAGTTATTCCTTCATGTGAACCCCTACTAGTGCTACTTGTGGCTTGCGAGAGGCTCGTTGGGGAGCATTACCGTAGCAGTTGCTGTGTGATGTGCTAATGTCGATCACAGTGCCATAAGCTGTAGGGCTTTTCCTGCGCGAGCGAAGTCCGAGTTGTCGGTCAAACATGGCGAAACCCTCCTGGTCCTGGGCCAACTGGGAGCCCCAGGAGTCGAAGCCTACGGGCCTTGTCAGACTCACAGTAACATGCGCGGCTGGACGGGATGGGGGGGGGGGGTGGTGGTAACCTTTACCGCGAGATACACTGTGCCTTTTCCTATGCACACCATGGCTTAGCGGTCCATGTTCGGTTTAGGTTTGGGAAAGCAGGCAGCACTACTGATGCCCCGAATCGCTGCATCACCCAAACCCAGTTCAACTTCCCTGAACCTACAATCGGCCCAGGAAGAGAACTTGGAGAAGATCATGCAGCGCAAGCAGGACCTCTCGTCACTGACAGTGCCTGGGCTTGGCTGATCTGCGGAGGCATTCTGTGAGGAACGAGCTTGATTATGACCTATAGCTGTTCTCGAGCAACTCGTGGTTCATGGATACTGCGAGAAATAGCTCTGCTCGTAACAATAAGTGCAAACATGTATATGCATCTGAGGCAGCATCAGCAGGTTACCATTGCAAAACCCAGGTCACCAAAGCTGAAGACTGGATCGCCGACTACGATGACCAAGCCTTGTTTGATCTCTTCATGCTGCGTTGCTTGGCGCAATCAGCCGGTACTTTTCAAGGCAATTTGCTGAGGTTCTCTGTCTGTGATGGTGCAATTTCTGCTGTCTGTTGACAAACATCTTTTTTTTCTTAAGCAGGCGGGCTTACAGTAGGTCAACACCGAGTTCATCAGCAAAGAATGACTCCAAGTATACGAAAGTCATACCACTGCTTCCCACAACATCTCCATTTCAAGTGTCTTTCTTTTGCAGGCCTTAGCTTCAATCGGAGATTTGAGGGAGTTGTCACGTCCAGCAACATGTATACTGTACTACTGCATGAGCGACATACAATCCTGCAGATGTGGTGGCCCTATGCCGTCAACCCTAAACCCTAACCCATAGGCCCAAAACTCCCAAAACCGTATATGTTTTGGCTCGGCTAAGTATTTGCATAGTGAGGTCATCCCAGGTATTCCGAACAGGTGAACATGAGTGGCACCAAGACAGCCAACCACTCGAAGTGAGCGGTAGCGACTGCCAGCTGATATCCGCCAACCACCTGCCGAACTATGAGGTACTTTTGCAGGCTGATGGCGTAAGTACATTCCAGAAGAGCTTGAGGCGTGAAAACTCCGAAGAACACGAGTGGCCCTAAACCCTAAACCCAAAGCCCCAAACCCTAAACCCTAAGCCCTAAACCCTAAACCCAAAGCCCTAAACCCTAAACCCAAAGCGCTAAACTCTAAACCCCAAACCCTAAACCCTAAGCCCAAAGCCCTAAACCCTAAGCCCAAAGCCCTAAACCCTAAACCCTAAGCCCTAAACCCTAAACCCAAAGCCCTAAACCCTAAACCCAAAGCCCTAAACCCAAAGCCCTAAACCCTAAACCGATCATCCTTTAGGTTTCAGAGTCTCACGAGGCAGCGGCACCGGACGGCAGCAGGGGCCCGACTGCCAACCGTCGAGGAGCCACTTTGAGTTAGGGTCGAGTACTATATAATACTACAGGGGTATCTTTAGGATCTCTATGCAGGGGGTGAAGAAGGTCGACATAGCCTTTTGAGGGATGCTCCGGTTCACAAGATTCACGTGTGGGTCCTGGCTGGGTATCGTTTAGGGGTCCAGGGTTTAGGCTTCATGTGCACTTGTGGGTTACCCTGTTGCTTCAGGGCAAACAAAACCTCGGAACTGGTAATTCCCTGATAGCTTGCAGCGAAACGATCCTGCAGGCAACTATTTTCAGCAAGGGGCTTGGACAAACCTTAAAAAAACCCCTCGCCCTGCACTTCCGTGCACTTGTACTGCGGTGCTGGAGTAGTCCCTTCCTAAACGAACCCACAGCATGGGAGCGCTGACCCCTTGACCCCCCGCCCCAAGCCCCTGACTCCTAAATTGCAAAGGCTCGAGACCCAAGGCCTAAACCCCGTGAGCTCGAACGATTCTTGGTGCCTGACGTAGTAGTAGAACAAATGACCGTTAACCGTTTTCAGGGTAACACAATCCTTCCAGAATCCCAAAGGCAGACATGTATTATACTATACATGTACACACACACATGTGTTTATACATGCACATGACACGTTGCGAGTATATTATATAGTAATAGTAGATATTAGACCTGTAGCCCCGCTGGGAAACTGGACATGCAGCAGAGGAGCCTCGAGATGCGAGGCAAGCGACCGATGCCAGAGCAGGACGTTCAGGACGGCCTACTACAGGGGCCTTCATAATTAGAAAAGCGTTCCTTCAAAGGTTTCCTGAAAGGGCTCTATAAGAGATCCACAAGGGTTCAATGATATACAGGGGCCTGAGTTGGGGCGCACTTTACTATAATTATGATGAGGAAGAACCCCAAAATAGTATTGGTAATTTTCTAGTCCCCCATAGTACATGGGTTTAGGGTAAGGAGGGTTTAGGATCCCGCATGCGGGATTTGTAGTTTAGGGATCCTTAGGGCGCAAGTCCGGGCAGAACTCTTCTACCGTCGTATCTGTCGAAAACAATTGTGCTTGTCTGCTACGGTGCTACAGCGGGGGGGGGGGGGGGAACCCTAAATTTAAATTCAAACGCGATTCAGGAGACCTCGCAGAAACGAAGCAAGTGAGGCCTGAATCACGTTTTTCGGGCCTTCGTTTCCGGACATATTCCGGAAAACGCAGAAGGCGCGGGATGCTGCGGTAAGGCTGGACTGAAGCCCGAAGTGTTTTCCTAGACCCGGGCCTGTCTGTCGCGGCACATCGGTAGCACTGTGTGTGGCTTCCGATGTGTGTTTTTAGACCTGAATTCCGGGTCTAATTCGGTGCTAAACAGAATGGGCATGGACGTTGAACCCCAAAAGCCATCCTCAAAGGCAGTCATACTGATGCTGGCAATAGTAAGCATAGTCAGAATGACATTGCTGGTGCGAAACTATTGATAGTAGTAGCGGTAGCGCAGCACGAGTGGGGTGGAAATGTGAGCAATCAGAGTAGTTATGCATATCGTCATCTTAGGCATGATCGCAGCAATCGTAAAGGCTTTCACTCTTCTCAAGCGCATTCTGTTGGGGAGTGAGCAATTTCTGAAAACGAAGGTCCTGTCCTCGGGGGTGAGACTGCACTCCAAGAGCAGATCTGATAGCGAGCCAAAGAACCTAAAGCGATGATGAGTTGATAATCCTAAACCCTCAAACCCTCAATCCCCAGCCAACAGAAGAGGACCTTCTTCAGTTTTGTGCTCAGGTGGGGAGGGCCAGATCCGGGTAGAGCCTCTGCAGGAGAGATCTCTCTCTCTCTCTCTCTCTCTCTCTCTCTCTCTCTCTCTCTCTCTCTCTCTCTATATATATGTATGTATGTATGTATGTATGTATGTATAGTGAACACACATAAGGAGGTACGGGTTCGTATACATGTGTACATGTACACGTGTGCATACATGTATGTGTTTGCTTGCTGGTATATAGATATGTAGATAGACATACACATATGCATATATGCATCTACGCATACCTGCATATGTACGTATATGTGTATATGTATAAATGTATGTGTGTTCACGGAGGTGACAAACAATCGTGTACATACATGTATGTTCATGTGCCATATGTCTGTATGTATGTACATACGCACATGCGTTTGTATGTCTGTATGTATGTATGTATGAACTCGCACAGTTGGAGATGTTCTCTTGACTCGTGAAGCCTGGGTCCACCTGCAGGGGATCGGATCTGCGCCAAGGGGTTACCTGACAGGAACGACCTGCACAAATCGACAACCTCGGGCTGTTGATTCAGGGATTTGGCCATCGGCAGACACGCTCTGCAGCGGAAAAAGGAGGAAACGCCACGACCTTTGACTAGCTTGACTGGCTGCATGACTTCGGGCCCCAGATGTTTTTGTGTGTGATTCCCAACCCGCACAGAACTTCAACTTCCTCATCCCTCAGGCCTTTCGGAGCTGCAGCTAAACCCTGGTAACCTCTCTATGTCCTTATAAGCCTAAAGACCCGAAAGCCTTGCAGCCCTAACGCCCGAATCCCCGGCGACTTTGCCTCTGCTCGACAGCTTCGGCTCGCTTGGGCGGATGGGGTTGCCTTTGCTCCGGCCCTTGCCGCGAAAAGGTGGGGTGAGCAGAAAGGGAGTCGTCGAGGGGGTGGCAGATGTAGAAAAACCCTGGGGAGTCTCCGCAATTGGGAGGTTAATCCTCGCCAGGAGTCCCATGCCTGAGGAAATAGGGGAGCCTGCATAATCACCAACACTATTCTGCAAGCTTCCTTGGTGTTTCCATACCACAATATCCATAGCCCCTGAATTACTCAAAGGGACACGTATATACATCAGCCAGGACTGCAGCAAAGTTGAACAGAGTTGAAGCTAATTTTCGCCCACTGCCGTTGGGCCGGGCCCGTTCAGCTGGAGTCACAGTCTGGTTGGGGCCTCGAATAAGGATCCTACTATATAGGGTACTATATTTGGGTCCCCTATTTTCGGAGACTCCCATATTCCTAAATTATGCTGTCCTGCCAGGTGGTACCCGATGGTAAAATGCTACGTTTGCCGATTTGTGGAGGCAGGTTGGGAGAAGGGTTTAGAGCTTGAGTAAGGCCCCTGCCCACTGATACTGACCACAAAGGGATAATGATACGGGTCTCAATCACCCGCCCCTCTGTGTTCCCATTATGTCACTACTACTGTGTGTGGGGTCAACGTTTTTTGTGTAGAGTTCTGGCGTGGAGGGAGGGATTGGGGGTTCAGGGTTTGGAAGCAAGCAGATCAGAGTGAGTCGTAGTGAGATGCTGGAAAACGATAACAGGGTGCCATATAGTCAGCAAGCGATAGCACGCCTGAAGAGCTCACTTCACGATGTGAGCGGTTGCAACGCGATCAGCAAACTTGCATGTGAAGTCAACGATCCGAGAGGTTTAGGTCTGGGAGTCCAAACAAAGTTTAACACGTATAAGCATTCTACATCCTGGACGCAATTAACCGCTGAACCCCTTGTCCCACACCTCAACTTCCCCCCTCCAAAAGAATGCCTTACAATAGTAAGATCTTTGGGTTGGGGCTTAGGGGTTGTGGTGCTGAGGGTAGGTGTCTTAGGCTTGTGAGCATTACGTGGGCTGCGGACATCATCGCCATAGGTCAAGCCGTAAACCAAGGGTTCACGGCCCTACGGTTTAGTGTAGGTCATCCACATCTTGGTGGCCATAATCATCACAAGTTACTAGAGCCTGGACCCCAGATCCTTTGCACTGCGGTCACTCCCCCAATTTCCTGAAGCTCAAGCCCCGACCCCCCCCAAATTCTACTTTCTACACTCCGAAAATTTTGAATTCAGCTTACTGGACCCTAAGCAACCTTAAGAAGCCCCCACACCCTAAAGGCCTGAACCCCACACCCCTGAAAACTCCCAAACTCTCCAGGCTAGCCCACCGGACCAAGCCCATCAGCTTCACCCTCTAAGCCCCCCCACTGTCCTTCTAGGGTCTTACCGGAGCACAACTAAGCCCGAGTCTTGAAGCATCCTGACGTCCCGAACTTGTAAGTTAAAAGTTTAGAGCTTCGGGCTGAAACCCCCCAAAAACTGCAATCTCCCTAAACCCTAAACCCTAAGCCCTAAACCTCGAACCAAAACACCAGGTGGAGAAAAAGCCCGGTGAGTGGCGAGCTGCTTGTGACAGGCACCAGCTGGCGGAGTGGCCAGGGGTTCAGTTTTCGGCGCTTGGGCTTTCGTGTTTAATTGTTGTTGCGTTTTGGGATGTCTGAGCTGAAAAAAACTGGGGGTATAGCGGACCTCAGAACCTTTTTTGAAGTATTGGGGCTATTGTATCAATCCCTCAATGCCTGTGCTTACTCTGCAATCTTCAAGCTCCAATTCCAGCACAGCACAAACCGTAGGCCTTGCAACCCAAAGACAACCATGAACAGTCAAAGTACGAACTAGGTAAACATAATTGGGAGGCTTTGACAGGCTTCAAATCCCCAGGCCCCCAAAACCACCTTTCACAGCAGAGGCAAGGCCCTATCAACCATAAACCCCAAGCCCCAAATCCTAAACCCGATCCCTCTCCTGGCTTAAGGCCTCGTGTAAGCTCAGATGGTTGGGCAGAAAAGGAGCGCAGAAACAAAGCCAATCCCTCAACCCGAAAGCCCAAACCCTGAACCCGAAACCCTGCACCCCAAACCCTAAACCCTAACCTACACCCTAAACCCCAAACCCTACACCCTAAACCCCAAACCCCTGAACCCAAACGGGAGTCCACCAGAAGCAGGTGCGCCGAGCTCCTCAAGGCTCCTCCCTGCAAAGCCTGTGGGCAACCGGTGGCTCGGTCTGGGGGCGAAAGGTTTAGGGGCTTAGGGGTTTAGGGTTAGGGTTTAGTGTTTAGGGATTAGGGTTTAGGGATTAGGGTTTAGGGATTAGGATTAGGGTTTAGGGTTAGGGTTTAGGTCAAGGGATGAGGGTGTGTAGGGTTGAGGGTTTAGCTCAAGGAAGGCGGCTTTGCTATGGGTCTTTTCAGCATCTGTTTAGGTGTTGGGATTTGGGGCTTCAGGGAATCATCAGGTTTTTGGGCTTCTGGGTTGTACTGCTGTAAGATACTTATAGGTGCGCTATGAACAAGGAGACTGGAATCAAGCATGAGCAGGCAACAAGAAGCAACCAGACTACGAGCAGACCGTACGCAACAGAACACACGACGGGGTGCATATATGTATGCAAACAGAAAAGACATGTGTGGACAAACACCGTTTGTGCATGTACATTATACATACAGATATATACATGCACAGAGACAGGGATAGAGATATAGATATGGATGCACGCACAGGAATGTGCGCATGCAGACTTGCACACACACACACAGAGACACACGCACGCATATATAAACACACATATATATATATATATACACGTGTGTGTAGAGAACATAGATATGTAGGTATGTAGATATACAGACTGTGCATGCGTGGAGGAATGTATGAATGAATGAATGAATGAACTAATGAATGAATGAATGATTGAATGAATGAAATGAATGAATAATTGAATGAATGAAATGAAATGAAATGAAATGAAATGAATTGAATGTATGTATGTATGTATGTATGTATGTATGTATGTGTGTAGGTATACACACACACACACACGCGCAAACACATGTATACATAGTCAACAGCATCACGTATACATATACCTGTACATATACAGACATACACACAGATCAACAGATACGTAAATACATAAATACAAACAGACAAATGACTAAATATAGACATACATATATATATATATACACACATACATGGATATACTCATACACACGTACGGACACCCACCAAATACGTGAAAACCCAGCTGGTTGAAGACCGCCGAGGTGCGGGATGCCAGGACCCGTTGTTCTGTCGGTCACCGTTAGGGCTGCCCTTACTTGGACGGGGTTCCTCTTTCTTCCTCAGAGAAGGCTGAGAGTTTGAGAATGAAGCTTCGCACCCGAACCTGCCTTTCAAAGGATAGCAAGTTGGCAAGGCTAAGCACGAGGCTGCAAAATGGTTAGGCTTCCGGTCATCTTGTTGAGCGGAATCCACCAAGGTCAGCCCATTCCTGCTCGTCTTCTTATACTTCTAGCGCACGATTAAGCCCTGTGTGAAGACTTCAGGCTCGTGCGACGTTTTCGCAGGCTTGCGAAGTCATAGGTCGCACAGCTTGAACTTGAAGCCCCCCCCACGCATCTCTGAAACGAAAGTTAGAGACGCTCCAACCTCGAGCCCAGAGCTTCCCAAGATGACTGAGGGTTGGGTGTTCATGAAAGGGTTTAGGGAAGTTGAGGGTTTAGAGTAAGGGACAGTAGGCTTTGGGGTGGCGACAAGGCTTTTGCACTTTTGAAGCTCAGGGTTCGAATTGCTTCGGGCTCAGAGCTATGTCTTCCGGATTCTTTTACTGTAGTTGTTCAGGCTGTTCGCTATGTTGAGAGCAAAGTCTATTGCGTGGGCTTCGGGTTGCACAAACGCAAGGCTGGCTCTTTGGAGGAACGCCTATCATCTAGAGTGTAAGGTTTATGGTTTAGGGTTGAGGGATGTTGGGGGATCGGCCAGGAAAAACGATCCGAACCCCTACCACGAAGAGTGCCGGCGGTGTAGTTCCTGCCACCAGAAGGTCAGCAGGCGCGCGCAAGGGACCTGCAAGTATATATCCCTTGTTTTGAGTCTCGGGGTAGATGTGCGAAACCGACGGCTGTTGCATGGGGGATTGCATCTGCATCTTGAGCAGTCCAAGCTTGCCTTCAGCGCACGCCCCAAATTTCAAATCCCCCGATGTGCCCAACACCTTCCCAAAAAGTCACCCTGAGCCCTAAACCAGTCAGAACCCCAACATCTTTAATTGCACGTTGAACAACGGGCGACTGCCCTGCGCACTTCCAGTGGTTTTCGAACTCAGAGTATTCATCATGGAGAGGAGGTGCTGGGAAGAAGATGAGTAACTTATGTACTATAGGAAGCCAAAGCTTTGTAAGAAGAAGACCAACATGTCGCAGCAGAACGTGCAGTCTGAGAAGATGAGGTAGGACACAACGCAAGAGCAACAAGGGAGAACATCAGCAGAGCACAGCATTCGATGGAGGGTGGCACGAGAATTCCTCTGTTCTCCCCAAAGCCTAAGCCCCCAGAGTTTCCATTCTAATTCGCCGGGCTCAGCTGGCTCAACCTCAACTACACCCAACGCTCAAGTGTTTAAATGATGTGGTGTCTCAGGTTCGGGATGCACAACTGGAGCTGCAGCCACTATAGATAACGGTGAAAGGGCTGATGAGGATAATGCTGAGGTTGTGATGATAAGTATGTATGATGGTTGGTACGATCGTACTGATGCAGACACACACCAACAACCGTCGGAGCACCATCATTCGTGAAGATAGGAAGCGAGTCATGTGATGAGTGACAACCATGACCTGGAAGCCAGGGAGGAATAGCAGATGCGAAGTCGTAGTGCTGTCGCATCACGCGCGGTAGCGACAGGAATGCCACAACCAATCCTGGAGAGCCCTTACTACTCTCGTGCCATGCCAGGGAAGGGATGCACATGACGGCTGGCAAGATCTTGTGTGGCTCATGCCGGGAGCTCGTTGCAGCGGTCGCAGCGGTCGTAGCTCCGAATTCTAGGCTCATTGCGTCCTTGCAGGCTGTATGAAGGTATTCTTCTGATCTTGCAGTAGGAAGACGTGGAACTCCATCATCGATGTAGCTATCGAGGGTGATCTCATGTGTGTATACATATATACAGTACATACATATGGACCTGTATCGCAACATCTCTGACTTCCAAACTTTCCCCAAACGGTAGATACAAGATCCAGATAACGATATATCGCATCCACCAGCAGAGCTTACAGAAAGGGCCTTAATCAAACCATGGATACAGTATCCAGATAACGTTAGATCGAATCCACCAGGAGCCGAGAAAACCCTAGACCCTACACCCTAAACCCCTAAACCCTAAACCCCTAAACCCTAAACCCTTAAACCCTAAACTCCTAAACCCTAAACCCCAAAGAAAGGGGGCCCCGTCTCAGCCCCACAGATTGAACACGCCTGTGCTGTGTGCCGATGCTTTTGAACAGTATACAGTAGAAGCCCAAAAAATGGAAACCCCAGGCCCTCTATCCTTTCGAGTAATGTATAGGGAATCCCAGCACTATTTGGCCTCAATCCGGTTTCCAACTTTAAGGGGTTTGCTGTACCAACTGTATGTCTTGGGAGACCTTCACCTCCCAACAAAACTCGCCGGCAAAGTGCTTGAATCCAACTGGAGATGACTGCGGGGACAGAGATAACCATTGCTAGCCTCCTCCATACACAAGGTAGTCTGGTAAAAGTCTCTTCACTTCGAGCCTGGGTTCAGTAAAGGCGTGTTATTGCATTTTGGCGGTTCATCCTGGCTGGAACGGGCTAGACTCCACGGAGGTATGGCCTCAGGGTTTCCAGAAACTTTGGTTTCTCGCCGATCGAGGTGATGTGTTGTTTGGCGAGTTCTTCGTGTCCGGGAAACGAAATGGTGCAGAGTACATGAGGGAGGCTGGAACCTGCGTTTGAGGGTCCTGCGAAGGGCTCATCATCGACCCATCCGAGCACCTACGGCAAGCAATGTGTTCTTCTTGTGTTTCTGTTGACGGTGCTTCGGTGTAGGCACAGTTGGACAAGTAGCGGTAGTCGTGATATCATGTCAGAACAGTAATACCATCAACGGCAGCAATGATGGTGTTGATGATTGCCACATGCATTCGATGGCTTTCGGTCGGGCTGTGGAGTGTCTAGGAGCTCTTTCACTCCGGCCTGAAGCCCCAGGCCCTTGGCCAAAGGTAACTTAGGGGTACTTAGGAATAATTGTTGATTTTTGGTTATTATACTCCCTAAGAAACAGCTAAAATTATAACTTTTGCTAGGGTTCTAAGTTCAGTATAGGAGTATTCTGAACCCAGAGTTTGTAGTCTCCTCTCTCTCGTCTCCGTCTCTTCTCTCTCTCGCTCTCTGCTGTGTGTCTCTATATGGGAGTTTCCGAAACTAGGGGCCGTAATATAGCACCCCTAGGCCCCGACATCGTAGGATCCTTATGATAAGGACCCGAAAATAAGGTACCCCGAATTTTCGGAAACTCCAAAATGTGTGCAGAGCTATTGCGCTCGCAAAATACACCCGCACGCATGTAAAGGTGCACGCACGCACCCCCAGACATGCACACCTGCAAGAAGATAGGTAGGTAGATTCCTAGAGATGGGGTCGAGGCCCTTCTGCGGTTTCTTTGAGATGGATCTTCGAAGACTGCTTTCTGGAGACCATTGAGACTCTTGCACGCCACATCTTGAGGGTTGAGTGAGCCTTACCAGAGACGATGATATTGCCGAAATTTTCCGGGGTGCTGGTGATTACTGTACAGCTTACAAGACTACTCCCTTCTGCTCTTCCCAGCATGGCGGCTCATATCAGTTTCTGAGGCTCCCCCGACCCCCATCCCCCATCCCCCTGGCCATGGCCCCGTTCCCGGGTGGGCGTCTCAGAGCCATGGCAGTGGGCTTAAAGCTCCTCCTGGCTCTGGCTCCCCATGCGAGAGGCCATGGCGCGATGCCACTGGGCCGTGTGAGTGAACAGGCAGTAGCCAAAAGAGGCCTACTCCTATGGAGCTTTACAGGAGGAGGCAAGAGTCAGCCATGTCGCAGTAGGAGTTTAGAATCAATGAGTGTTCGGGTGTGCCGTCGCTTGTCAGATAGAAGCTTCTCGCGGTTTACTTCGTGAGGGCCCTAAGCCGTCCTTAAGCCTATCCCTTAGCCCAAAGTCCCTGAACCTCTAACCCTAAACTCCCTAAGCCTTAGACTATTGCAAATGTCTTAGGCCCAAAGTACCCTCAATCCTCAGCCCTGGCCCCCGAGCCGAGCCCTAAGCTTCCTCCGCAGCCAGGTTGCTACTTCCCTCCTCCTTCTCATATCATCGTTGGTAGTTCCACCACTACTACTGCTGCTGCTGCTACATCACTACAGCTACTACGACTACTACTACGACGACCAATACTGCTGCCACTACGACTACTAGGACGACGACTTCCCCACGCCCTGAAGCCGTTTTAGGTACGAGCCTCCTTCGCGGAACAGCGCGGGCCTTTCGCTGCTGTCGCCCACATGCCCTGGTGGGTCCTGCCAGTGGTACAGCCAAGGCCGTGGCGGTGGAGTTTGAGGTTCAACAACAGCAACAGTAGTTGAACGTGCTGACGATGAAGCAACCACCTATAATGACGATGTTACCCATCATCGCCAGCACTTTAACCACAATCACAATCATAGACATAATCATGATCATGATAAGCGTCAGCATCAGCATTAGCATCGAGCCATAATCCTTGTCATGACGTCACCCCATCACCACCATCACCATCATCATCACAATCAATCCTCACAGCAGCAACAATAGGATCATCAGGGTTCAGGGTCAGAGGTCGAGGGTGTAGGTTCTAAAGGCAGCTTTTTTGGCTTTCTCATAGGTTGGGTTTGCAGTTCGAGCTGCAAGGCTTGCGACTTCGGGTTGCGAGCAGCCACGAGCAGTTACAGAAAGCAAGTGCCTTGAGGAGGTGGGCGAATGCTCTTAAAACATTTGGAAGCACATCCCTAAACCCGAAATACACCGAACGTGTAGGATCTGCCCGCAAGGACCCATCAAAGACACTGTTGTGCCTGCATTGGACTTTAAGAAATCCAAGATCACTCAGAAAAGATCACAGAAGGCATTCCGGTAGTCGCACCCTAGCTGGACCATCCTGCGTTGCTTGTGGCCTGTAACGATCGACAGGGGCACCAGCACACAAGCAACAGCGCTTAGCGGATTCGAGATTCAGCATGCACGGCGGAATTTGGACATCCTTATCACCGTGCTCTAAAGAAACCTCTCGAAGGCTCCCGAAGTCTCAAAACCCTAAACCCAAATTCAGAGACTCCCAAGTAGAAGCCCCTCCCCCCCCAGGGTGCACCATCGGCTGCCCGGAGATCTCCGGGCTGCACGAGCCGGGCGATGCCCTTTGGTAGCTACTATAGTCACTCCAGGGGCCCAGATGATTAGGAATACTGTTTTGCGGGGGTTCCTTGTTATAAATATAGTATAACGGGCCTCCAAAACCCTATTCTAATTATTAAGGCCCACTATATAGATCCCATATAGATCCCTTATTTTAGTAACTCTTATAGAGGGGTTATAAGAGAGGAATCGAGCTGGAAGGGTCGGCCTTCTTGCTCGGAAAGTGGCTTCAGGGTTTAGGCTTTAGGATTTAGGGTTTAGGCTTTGGGATTTAGGCTTGAGAATTTGGGCTTTAGGGTTCAGGCTTTAGCGTTTACTTACTTAGCCAAGGCATCTGGCTTACAGAGAGGATCCTACTGCTTACAGGTGTATCTTACGGTACTCGACTCGTAACTTAGATATCTACTATAGATCCCGATTATGGTAACGGAAACATTTACTATAGATCCCTAGTATGGTAACCTAACTATTTACTGTAGATCCCTATTATGGTAACTTAAGTATTTACTATACATCCCTATTCTATGGTACAGGGATCCTTCAAGGATTTGCTTGGTTGTCTCCTTCCGTGGAGGTCGAGAGTCCAGGCTTCCGCAGGACAGCCATGACAAAGTTTGCCTGAAGCAGCATTACTGGTTTATGACTTTCAGATATGTAAATCGTACAAATTTAGAAAACTAAAGGTTCAGGGCTTTAGGGTTCAGGGTTTAGCAGAACTTCATATCTACATGCTCGAAAAGAATAGCCCGAGCCTGTACAACAAACTAATCTTTTCGCTGCAATCGCTGAAGCTTGTTCTCGCCACGGGATTTCAGCCCGAAACCCTGAAAGGTGCACGCCCTAGAATCGAAAATCCTTACTTCCGCAAGCCCACTGAAGCCTACAGTCAGCCCCGAACCGTGGTCCTACAGTGCAACTAAATCACAAGTGTTGCCCACGGCACTGGAACCGTAGCTTTCAACTTTCATGAAGGTAGAAGTCTCAAAGCCAATTAGCATTATTCCTTACAAGTCCTTAATGTAATTATGGCCCCCATGGCCCTATTGCTAGTAATATTAAGGCACCGAAATCTTACAACCCTGATAGAAACCCTTTCTAGAAACCCTATTAAAACCCTCATAGAAACCCGTTAAAGGGGCCTTTAGATAAGCCCCTAAACGGAACTCTATTCTAACCCTCATAGAAAGCTTTAAGGGAACCCTTAAACGGAACCCTATTCCAATCCTCGCAGAAACCCTTTCAGGGAAGCTTCAGAGTAGCCCTTAACAGGAACCATATACGAGTTATGAAGGCCCCGGATTTAGAAACCCCTAAACCTTAAACCCTAAACCCTAAATCCTAAACCCTAAACCCCAACCCCTAAACCCTAAACCCGAAACCCTTAACCCTAAACCCTAACCCCTAAACCCTAAACCGCGAAAGGGGGCTCCTCAGACCCGGCGAGGCCTGTGACCACCCAGCCGAGCCGACGCTGACCTGGGGCCTCTCGACCCATCTTGTGTTATACGGGAGTTTCCGAAAATTAGGGGTGCCTTTAAAGGGATCTATAAGGGTTCCTTAAAGGGATCTATAGGAGTTCTATAAGGGATTTGGGGTGGTCTCCATATGGGAGTTTCGGAAAATTAGGGGTACTTTTTATATCAATAATTTAAGGGTTCCTTAAAGGGATCTATAAGGGTTCTTTCATAAAGGGTTTAGAGTTTATATAGGGTTTGGAGTTTCCGAAAATTAGGGGTACCGTAGGGTCCCTTTAAAGGGATCCTTTAAGGGTTCCTGTAAGGGATCTATAGGTTTTAGGGTTTAGGGAGTGGTGGTTAATGGGGACCCTTACCCTACAATGGGCTATATAATTGGTATATAGTAGCTCTATTAAGGGTCCATAAGGGAGTGTCCGAAAATTTGGGATGCCTTATTTTGGGGTCCTTATAATAAGGATCCTACTATGTAGGGTACTATATCAGGATATGGGTGGTTGTCAAAATTAGGGTCCCCTTTTTGCATACCCTAAATAATAGGTGCCGTATTATAATAAGGACCCAAAAAGGGACCATAATTTTGACGACTACCCATATAGTCACGGCATAGGGTTTACGGTTTAGCGTTTGGGTGCATTAAACATGTGATATGGTCGTATATGATCGTAGAATCAACATGGAGGTTACGGTTCGATGAGAAGGTCCTCCCAACAACACAAGGCTTTCGGGAACAGGTGTGGCAAACTGGTAAACTACTATAAGAAGCAGGGTCTGTTCCCGAAACAGCCAGCACTAAGAGTTTCTTACTAAAATCTACGATCATGCACAGTCCCAGAACATACCATAATATTCTGTAACAAACTATGACATACTTTTGCCGGAGTTAGGGTTTAAGGGGTTCTTCGTTCGGTGTAAGCGAGTTCTCACCACCATTCCCCGGCCGGGGATTCCGAGTTCATTGTACTGGTTATAGTATTAATGGCAGCAGCAGCTAAATCGGTTTACAGCCTGCGTTTCGCAACTTGCCTGGTCCACACTCAGAACATGATGCCGAATTCCTCCAGTACAAAGACGACGGCTACGGTGGCGAAACAAAGTACCATCCTTGGCGTTATCCAGGCCTGTATGGTTGAGTGTCTGGAGGCATCTGTTCAGTTTGAGTGTCCGAGTTTGGGGATTCGGTCTTTGGCCGTTTAGGGTTTCAGGTTTTCGGGGTTAGGGCTGAGAGTGGGGTTTCGATGAGTGACGGCGGGTGAGGTTTCCAGGCTTTGCGCTTTCAAGCACCTGGGATTGGCACGGCCTGCCGGAGCCCTAAAACCGAACTGTAAACGGTGGAGTTGAGGGCATGCAGACAACCCAATGGCCGGAGCCCAGGGAGTCAATCGGTTCTTCTGTGCAGGGAATGGCTGGAACGATGGTCACATGGAGTTCATTTCCTGTGATAATCTGCTGGATCCAGCGTGCGTGGCAGCTCGAAAATGCCAAGAAGGCATGTGCATTGCCCTTTCCACTCACGCTCAACGCTCGCATTTCCCGACTTGCACGGCCATACCGACCAGATACCCTCCAACCTTCAGCAAAGCCAGCAAACAGCTCCGTAATATGTATGGGTAAGCGGAAGGAATTCCAAGAAGACCATCAAAACCCTACAGTCGAAGCACCAAACCCTGACACCCGGGACGTCTGCACGCCCGAACGCCAAGCTTGACAGTCTCAAGGAGCTGGCACTGCTATGAAGATTAGCACCACTCTCGCAGCAACAGCAACAGCAACCGCAACGACAGCAACAGCAACAGCCATCATTGTCATTATCGCTGTCTTTGCAACTGTTGCAGATCTTAGCTATCCTTGCCATCATTGCCATCATGACGGTTGCAGTTGTCAGGAGCGGCTCCGGTGGGGGATCCTTGCGGCACCACCGCAGGTGGAAAGGAACCCCTCGGACGCTTGGCTTGGCCTCTTCGTTTTTTTTTTTTTCAGGGCTTTACGTGGGTTTTTCGCTTCTCGAAATTCGACTCCCCACTCTCCGGATGAAGTGTGAGGCCAGTTAGATCCCCCTCCTGGCTTCGGGACGGGCGTGGACGGCTCCGACTTCAAGGCCCTTTGCCCGCAAAGTCGCGGTCGCTAGTTTCCTCTCGGATGCGTCCAGACGAAGAGTGCCTCCACTAGTCGTCAGCGTCGTTGTCGTAGTCGCTTTCCTTGGTCGTGGCAATTAGCACCGCAGCAGCAAGAGCAGGCCTAGAAATCGCAGTACAAGTGCACTAGTGACAGTAGCAGTGGCGATGATACGACCCAGAAAGAGGCAGCTAAAATTGTGAAATTGACAATGCACGGTGGTGAGCAAAACAGCCCAATAATCCTTTGAAACGCCGACCTCCATAAACCCCAAGACCTAAAAACTCTGAGCCACAAACCCCTAAATGCAAACTGCAAATCCCACTTCCCGGACCTGCAGCCCCAGATTCCAAAGCCCTGAGAATCCAGAATTCAACCTCGGAGCCTAAACCCTCGACCCCAGCCCTCTGGCACCGGGAACCCAGAACTCAAAAGCTCAGTCGGACTTTCGTGAAGGGCATCAACAGGCGGCGTGGAAGGTAGGTTGGCCTAAGGATCCCTTGTACAAAGTCTCCCAACTTGGAGCTCCCCCCCAACCGACCTCCATGCCGCTTGTAAAGAAGTCCTTTCGCGCCCTTCAACGAACTCTTAACGGAACCACTGAAGGAGTCCTCCTTGATAGAATGGAAAGTAAAGCAGCATAAACCCACAAGCAACTCTTAAAGTAACCCCGGAGCAGTAGCAGAGCCTTCAAAGGAACCCCCGAACCCTAAACTCTAAATCCTAAAGCCAAAACCCGCCAGTGCACTGAACAAAAAGCCAAAACCCTAAACCCTAAACCCTTCAAAGGAGTTCTAACTGTGAAAAAAGTCCATTAAAAAAACCTTCAAGGGAACCACCACCTTTCGAGTCCGTTGACTTTCGGAGTGCCCTGGAGGTTCTCCCAAGCCTTCTAGAGCAGACTGTTTGGCAGCCTGGCGCAGAGGCAGGATTGGGGGGGGGCGCAGGGTGTTTTCGGTTTAGGGTCTAGAAGTTTGGGTTTTAGGCTTTAGGGGTTTGGAGTTCAGGGTTTAGGGGTTTAGAGTTTAGGGTTTAGGGTTCTTTGGGGGTCCGAGAGGTCGCTATAAGGGGTTTGGCAGTTCAGGGAGTCGAGTACAGTAGTAGTTGAGGGCGTTGAGTATGTAATCAAATTCTGCACCATCGCAAATCGCAAAGAGGGCTCGACGGTCAACACCTCAGATGCCACCGAAGTCTCAATGAATTCCAAAGCTCTAGATTCACCTCCGTGACCGGACCTTGAATTCCAGAGGCCGTAGAAATGAAACAGTCCTGAGAGTCTCGCAGGCTTCTGAGCCCCTGCGCCTTTTGCGTAAAGCCCGTGATAGTTTAGGGTTTAGGGGATTATAGGAGCCTTTGATGATTACCTATACTATTTTTCGGGGTTCCTTATTGTAGATACCCCAATCCCTATTCTGACTATGAACCCCCTATATTAAAATACATCCTCGGACTTCCTTGAGGGCTTTTGTAAGCCTAAATTCTGAGCACCGAAACCCAACAGCCTGACCAGTAAAGCCAAGTTCAAGCCGTAAGCCGTCAACCCACCATTATTGCCGTTATCACTTTTATAGCTATTATGATTATCATTCCTTTTTTTCTTGTTATTCTTAGGTATTAGATCATTGCTATTATTGTGAGGAATGAACAGAGGTCGAAGTGGCCTGGGGCATCGCGGCGAATCATGGGGGCGGCTACCAATACAGGCTCTGTCCTGCCGGCATGGAGGCTCGATTGGGTTTTAAGGGGTTGTTGGGGTTTAGGCTAGGATGCCCAGTAGTACCCTTATTCCCTTTTTGTAGTCCTAGGTTCCTTATAAAGTTACCCAATACCAAAAAGAGAGGCCTTTTTATTCTTAGGTTACTGGGTATCCTAGTAGGGTTTAGGCTTTAGGGTGTTTGGGTTTGGTTCGCGGGATCGACATGGTGCAGTTCCGGTATTCCAGAGGTTGGAGTGCTTTCAGCGTTTCGCCCCGCGAATCCGTGGCTTTCGGGGTTTTGAGAAATCGGCCCTGAACATCTCTTGTTGCGGGATTTAACTTAAGCTGCCATAGTAAGGACACGACATGATTTGCTTAAGGGGTTTAATTTAAGTTACTATAATAAGGAAACCACATGATGATTTGCTTCAGATCCCTGTGATGGTAAGTTAAATAAAATCCCTTAACATGAACCCAGACTACACCACTTTAAACCACCCGCGAAAACCATGGCTCTTAGGCCCCAGTTTCAAGCTTGGGGTTTTCGGTTTGGGAGTGTTCCGTGCTTTGTAACCCGGAATTAGGTTCGGAGGTTGCGGATTCAGCTCAAAAGCACGCGCCCAACTCAGTGCCAGGCACTCACGGAGGAATGCTTCCAGAGAAAGCCCTTAGAGTTCGTTGGTGACAAGCAGTGGCTGCGCCTGGGCTTGGTATGGGCCGTCGTTCCAGGCATGACATGTTGCTACAGTAATCTCCATAAAGTTGGAAAACCGGATTAAGGCCAAATAGTTCAGGGGTTCCTTATACAGTGCTCTTAAGGAATGAGGCTATTGGGTTTCCAACTTTTGGGCTTCTACTGTACTGTCTTCTCGCGAGAGCTATGTGACAGTATAGGGATGCCACGCTGGCAACACAGAAGGCAATGTCGTACCTCCCTCCCCCTCTCCGTGTCTTCCTCTCCCTGTCTCTCCAGAGAGGCAGCTACACAGTCAGACACAAAGGTAGATAGATGCATATATAGGGAAATAACGTTTGCGTACCGGCATAGGTGTTATGTGGGCATGCAAGCAAGCACGAATGTTCGTCTGGACATCCCTCTACGCGTGCATGTGTACTTACATGCATGTTCTGACATACGGTTATAACACTATGCAAATTCCTATCTATCTTTCTGTCTGTCTGTCTATGTATCTATCTATGTTTATCTACCTATCTATCTATCTGTCTATGTACGTCTGCCTGTCTGTCTGTCTGTCTGTCTGTCTGGCTTTCTGTATGTCTATATGTCTGTATGTATGTCTGTTTGTATGTCTGTTTGTACGTATGTATGTTTGTATGTGAATGTATGTACGTATGTATGTACGTACGTATGTATGTAATTATGTATGTTGTATATACACATACATACATACATACATACGTGCGTACGTACGTACGTACGTACGTACGTACGTACCTAGATACACCTCCAGATCCCGATCCACATCCGCCTACCCATACACATACACATACTCATACACACACAGATACACGTGCCCGTTTCGTCTACATAAAACCACATAGACATAGGCGGAGGAGGGAGGAAGCAGCAGTCCAGGCTGATTCCGGGTATTCGGGTTTGGCTCGAAGGTTTTGAGTTTCAGGATTTAGGATGATGCATATTGTGGCCCCATATCCCTAAACCCATTGAGCCTGAGGATTTCTGATCGTCTGAGTGGATTCAAACTGCTGGTTTACAGTAGCTTTCACCGTATTATAACGATAGTCTAATGGGCCCCAAAACCCTATTCTAATCATTAAGGCCCCTATACTATATGTCAACGAGTCTCCGGCCTCCAAAGGCAGTTTGGGAATGGCTTCGACAAGAGCAATCGGCTGGAGATCAAAGCCAAGCGCGTTGGCGGGCAGTGTCCAGGCTGCCATTTTTGCCGCATCCCGCCCTCGAAAGCTGCGAACCCAAAGCTACAGGCTTGAGAGACCAACTTGCGCTTTTGGGCTCTATTAAACCCTAAACCCTAAACCCTTAACCCTTAAACCGTCTATTGATTCAGGAGACATGTTGGGTAGTTGGGACCAGCTGCCGAGATGCTACTTCCGTGTTGCCTGCGGCTCTACGCTTATGAAACTTGTCATTCCTCCGTTCACCAAGATGCTTACGAGTAACCCAAGACTCGAAGCAGGAGCTAAAGCCAAACCCGGAAAGGCCGAACCCTTTGAACCCTGCAGCTGCGCCGAAGAAACCTTAGGAGGAGGATCATCTAAGAAGCAAAGGACGCTAAACCCTACTTCCACTTCCATTCTAGCGGAAGTTACCATGTTTGGGGCGCAGGAGCTTAAGTTGAAGCAGCATTCAAAGCCCCGCACGCCTCAGGAAAGTCAAGCCCGAAGGGTCGACGTGGACGATGAACCCCATCCCGGGATGCAAGGCGATCTGGCCGTTTCTGGGGCTCTTGAGTGCTTTCCTCAGCCTGCCTAAAGCCTAAACTCTCAGTGTAGGCTAAGGTCCAAATCGTGTCAACCCAAAGCCCAGACCGCAGTGCAAACCTCAATCCCTGAAGCCCTTGGCGGTGAATCCCTGAATCCCGAAACACCCCAAGTCCCGAAACCCGGTCCTCCAGCTCCTGTGAGCGCCGCTTTAGTGTTCTTTGCAGGATGATTGGGGCAACAGAACCCTAAACCCCAAACCCCAAAGCCTGTGAAGCCGAAGTCCCCCCAAGCCCCCAACATGCTGGCCGTCCAAACCTGAAAGAAGACAACTTTCCAAAATTAGGGGTACCAGATTTTGGGGTCCTTATAATAAGGATCCTACTATTTAGGGTACTATATTAGGGTCCCCTACTTTCCAAAAGTTTCCGGCATTCTCCACCTTAGTATTGTGTTGAGGAACAGGTACCCCTGTTCGCTTCGGCTCTAAACCACAAAACCCTTCAGCCGTCCGGTAGAGTCCCCTCAGAGATGCCCAAAATACATTTCATGCAACCCGTAAAAGCCCCACAAAAACCCTCAGCCTCGGACCGCGAAGCGCAGAAAACTAAAAAATCCAAACCCTAACCCCGAACCACTGGAACCCCCACACAATCCCCTCCCCCTTCCCAGATGCACAGTTTTCCCTTGAAGCCAGGAGAACGGCGGCCGAGCCAAGCCAGGGCCCCTGTTTCAGGGTTTGGGTTTAGGATTTAGGGTTTCGGGTTTAAGAGCTGGGGTTTGGGTTTTCGTGGGCTTGTTTTGGTTCAGGGTTGTTCACGGTGTTGCGTTCAGGGAGTAGTGTTGGCAATGAATCTGTTTTGCAGCCAGTAAGTTTTAGTTTGCTCTGCAAACGTACTTCGCGCGAGTCCTGAAAGAGTGGGCTCAGGGACGTGACGACGACAGTCTTGGATTCTAACGGTGTAGCAGCCCCACACCCTTTTCCATAACAGTTGTAGTCTGTCGTAGTTACAGCGTGCCATCGTGTAATTTTTTATGATATCTATAGTATTGCCTTCTATATATCAGTCCTGAGGCCCCTCTCCCCAGGACCCCAGGACTTTGATGTGCTCCCTCACATCCGAAGCCCACGGCAAGCCCTCAATCCCGAACCAAACTCTCCAAACCCTCAAACCTTCAACCTTAAACCCTCAAGACCCAAACCTGGACCCTGATCCTTAAACCCTGCACGTTCAAATCCATATTTTTTCATTCTGGATATTAAAGTCACTTTTTTAAGATTTGGGTTCGGGCGTTCAAGCACAGGGTTTCGATAGCTTTCATGTCCTCGCGTCCGGCGGTCCTTAGGGGGCATTGCATAGGCCCACGCATAGACCGCTGGAAGAACGGGGGTTCGGCTTTAGGGTCTTTGGGGTGTAGAGTTTAGGGCGGGTTCCCCGAGAATCAAATCCCAAACCCTATACCCCATACCCTACAGTAAAGCATACCCTACAGTAAAGCATAGTAAAGCTTCAAGCAAACATATACACTTAAATCAACCCTTTCTCGAGGTCCACGTGTCTGGGACCCACCTTTGAACCTGCACCCGGGAGCGACAAGACTTATCGCTACGGAGGCAGCCGACACTTTTGTTTGTCAGTTCAGTTTTATGTTCTCCTTGTAAAATGGTTATCCGTTACTACAATTATTGATGTAATTTCTGTGATCACTTGCTATGTTATTGGTTCTTACGATTAGTTTCATGTTTTTGTTGTCAACCGTATCCTGCTTCTTGGAAGTATCTTCATCAGCTTCTTGCAATGGTTGTCATAGCTGCCCCTAGTGGCAACGTTGGTAATTTGTTAGTGCTTCGCCTTGTTATAGGTTTTGAGCATTGGATTTGAAGCTGGCGATATAGGAGTTTCCGAAAATAAGGATACCTAATATAGTACCCTTTATAGTAGGATCCTCATTATAAGGACCCCAACATATGGTACCCCTAATTTTCGGAAACCCCCATATAGGAGCTTTTCTCATCTCACGCATCCCTGCTTGCGAGTCGAGGCGGGGCGACTCTGTCTCTACACCTTCAAGCCCCAACCTTCAGCCAGAAACCATATGCTATCTTTACCTTCAAGCCTCAACCTATAGGGCTTCCCGAATAGATGGCGTACGTAGAAAGCATGATATATGCCACCTTCTTTATAAGCCATCTGCCACAAACCCCTCCTTGCAGGGGGATCAGCTCCAGGGTGGCTCGGCCGAAGTCCACTCACGGGTCTTGAGACCCAAACCCTCCTCGAGCCTCTAATGTTTGGCATCAGGAACACCTAAAGGCTTTGAGCCTGCTTCTTGATACGTCTTGTATTGGGCGGGATTTCTTAGACTGAGGAGGATTCCGTAGTTGATGTTTGCTATGATGACAATTAGTAGATACTAACAGCAATAGTAGTGATGATTATTAACATCATCACCTTTTGTCATTACCCTTGTCATTTTCATTGTGATCGTCATTCTTCTTCTGATAATTCGTGTTCTTCTTATTGTATGGACCGGCCCAAAGGCAGGAGCCCCCCCTTTCTTCATTCCTGAGCCCAGAATCCGCGACCGTGAGCCTTGAACCGCACCTACTCCTACTCCCTACAACTTTGTCATAGTTGGGTCGCATTTTTACATGTTTATGGTACTTAAACCCAACGAGGAGCAAACATGTACATTGTTAATCCTATCCCAACCATGAACTAGTGAGCCCCATCAAACCCAACGGTTCCTGTTCTTGTATCCATAGCCTGATAGAATGGAACCCCGAGAAAGTCAGTCTGAGGATCTACGGCTATGGCTCGGGACGTTGTATGGGCAACCTGTCCAAGACGCCAGAGGTGGGACACCAAGAAGAGTGCTGGGTTTCTTTGGTGTTATAAGGGCCTCGGATATTTTGAGCAGGGTTTCGGGGTAAAAAATCGGATAAATGTAGTAGCGACTACGGGTATTGTGTGGAAGACCACCGAAAATCTAAAGCCCAAACCATGAACCTCAATCCCTAAACATACCCAGTGCAAGCCTGAAGTTTCAATCTTTTAATAAACCCTGCTTGTATATTCCATCCCAACGTCGATGTTTTTGATGCCGGAATGAGGGTGAGAATGGACATCTGCAATGTCTACATTCATGCTCATGCGTATAATCATGCCGAGATGTTGTTTTTCTACGCATAAGATTGGGATGATAAAATATGGCCGGTACTGGAAGGCGGAAGAGCCGTACAGGTATTTCTCCATGCACGTCTCCACGTGAGGCTGATTTGGGGAGCTTTCAGTAGCATCCTCCTTACGGTGGTTTCCGAAAGTAGGGCACCCTAATATAGCACCCTAAATAATAGGATCCTTATTATAATGACCCCCAAATACCGTACCCCTAATTTTCGGAAACTCCCATATCCCAAACACGCGGATATGGATGATCGTTAATTTCACGGCTCTGAGGGTGCGAATCGAAAGCCCTGGAGGATGCTACTGTTGATGATACAAATCCTGCATCACCTTAAGGACCCTAAACTCCCTAAACTATGGGAATCATGGTATACCTCCTTATTATGGGTAATGCAGGATTTATATCATCAACCGTAGCACGAATAAATGGTTGAACGTGATCGATGGAAGCAGCTTCAATTCGAAGGGATAGGCAGTCCAAATAGAACTCCAACGACTCCCCAAAACATTACTTCGAGGCGTGTCCGTGTTCAGAGACTCATGTTTCATTCGAAGTACGACACGCGGACAAGGAACGTTATTCAACACCCATAGCATACAAAGCTTTTCTGCAGCAGAGAATGCCATCGGCTATTTCTGCTGCTTCCGCTTCAGATACTTCAGATCAGGAGAATTATGAGAAACGAGATCTTAACACGTAAGTACATCAAAAGTACATCGTCATCTCTTCGCCTTGTTTTTTATTCTATCGGAAGCCTTCAAAAACTACTCTATCTGATAGGTTGAACGAACTCATCTTCCAGCTCGAAATCAGACATGTGAAAAAAACATTAGATGCCTCCATGCCTGAGGCTTCTTTCAAAGACGTAGGTGTGAGAAACAAAAGCAACCAGACGTAGGAAGTAAGCCACGGGAAGTCGTCGCTTATAGAAAGTTCATGCCAGTACGCACACGAACCTCACAGTTTCAAAAGCTATAACATGCGGGTCAGACGCTTTCTCACATTGATGTGGATTTCCGATTAGCCGCTGCATCACGAATGTTGTGACTACTCCTGTAATCTGCTTCGCCTGCATGACTTCGGGTGTTTGGCAGAGCTAATGTAGGAAGCTGATTAAGAAACCCTGGGCCTATAACCCTAAAACAGTAGGATTCATATAAGGAACCTAAATAAACGCCCAAGGTTTCTTAATCAGGTTCCTACATTAGTTACCTACGATTTATTGTTTTTTCGCGGTCCGGCCACGGGCTGGCAGTGTAGATTGCACAGGAGTCATACGGTTGCCTGGGTTGTGAGAGTTCGTGGCATCGCTTGGCTAAGGTGTGTCGCTGATCCTAATTCACTAGCAAGTACAGCTCTGCTGAGTCTTTCCGTCAACCGTTAAATCGTGCGGCGGAGGGACAGTGCAAACATATCGCACACGGTCCAAGATTGCTTTCATGAAAGCTTGCCTCGTCGTAACTGTTGTGACATTTTGAGTGCTGATTCAGTGCATCAGCTAGATACCACATAACTCTTGAGCTTTCTTACTGGTGTGCGTTCTTGATGCTGAGTCAACAGTCAGATTTAGGAAGCAGAGTTACGAATCATGCTGATGCTGAGATGAGTTCAACCCGAAGCCAAAAGCCAACCCCTAAACCCTAAACCCAACCCACACACACCCACACAAAATTCCCACCATCATTCCCTAAAGTGGAAAGAGCCGCCTTGCAGGCTTTCTGTGACCCACAGGCGACTGGGGGGTTTGCTCTTGGGGTTTCTTTGCTATAAGCTGCTTACTACAACGTACTACGATGATACGATCGTGTGCGATAACATGCAAGCTTTGGGGCGTCACATTTCGGGGTTTTCGGTTGTGGGCGTTGTGGGTATGGAGGTTAGCGGTGTCCAGGTGTCTGGTGTCCCTAACTGAGCCGGGAGTTTTGCAACACAGGGTGTGATGATGTTCGTAGTAGCGATGACAAAAGGAACCAAGAACCCTAAACCTTAAACCCTACACCCCAGATGCTGTTGAACATACCCCGGTGCTTTGAGATCGGAATCCCGAAGGCGAAGACTCGACAGACATCCGATTAAGGAGCAAGTCTTCCAAAGCATGTATGTATGTATGTATGTATGTATGTATGTATGTGTGTATGTGTGTATGTATGTGCATGTATGTATGGATAATGTATGTACATATGTATATACACACATACATGCATACACATTTTTATGCCCACACACATGCATGCCTAGTGTTTACGGTTGAGATTGGGACGTGGCTGTAAACGGCCTGAAACCCTAAAGCCGAGCTATGAAGTCGCGAGAATCCAAGGCCCTGCAGCCGAGAGTGTCCTAAATCCGTCTACTTTACATCATACTTAAAGGATCATGGGGCTTGGTAACTAGGGTTATAATTAGGGTAACTATACTTATAACCCCAATTAGGGTAATTATAGCCTTACTTACTAACTCCCATGATCCTCCAAGTAGTATACTACAGGCTATTACAGTACATTATATCACTTTCATTATAGTATTTTCTTGTATACTGCTGCAGATTATGGCTTTCTGGATCCTGCTTTGTCCTTTCGGGGCTTAGATTTAGCCTTGCAGTGGGTTCGCGATCCGACGTTTGGAAGCCGCACCAAGCGCGAATGATTCGATGGAGACCATGCAAGGCAAACAAATTCCCGACGAGCGAAGCCCTAGGTCTTCTAAGTCTTAACCCTAAGCCGTTAACCTGAATATTAGTATTAGTATTAGTAATGATATTAATATGAGTATTAGTAATAATATCAATATTAGTTTAGTATAGAAGCAACGGTGCAGGAGTACTACGATGTTTCGTTTGACTTCGGCATCGTAGACCTTGTGAAGATTCCAGATGACTTGCCAGAAGGCTGCCTGGCTTTATCAGGTTTGGTTGCAGGGTTCATTTTTGTCGATTCGGGTTGAGACTTTCTGCTTTAGTGCACTGGAGATCTCGACGTCAGGTCTAGGACGCGCTACTGGAAGGAGGTTCGGGGGTTCAGCTCTGAAACTTCCCGATGGACCCAGAACAAAAGCAGAAGAACAGCCGCTGAAGCCGGATCGAAGGCCTAGCAGGGTTTTTTCCCATCTTCCCGGAAAAGAGCATTGGCCCTGCCCTCGGCTTCTCTGCCGGGATCTCGGACGCACACAGCACGCTTTTCTGCAACAATCGCCCAGGACACTACATCCTGGGATTTCGCTGGGCCACTCCGATGCAAATCCGGCTGGGGAGCCGGTATTGATCCTGGTGACATGATGATAGGTATTATAGGGGCTTAAAAAATTTACCAATACCATGGAAGGATCCCTGACCATATCTATAGCACAGTATATGTTCATATGCCGTAGCAGTAGTGTAAGAAGAACCGAAGTGTTCGTATTTGCAAGCAGCAGTACGGCAATGTGGCATGAGGGTTTGAAGAGAGATCTGTTCGGCTCAAGTTTTCATCTTGTCGCACGATTGAACCCTTCTGCTTCGAGCAAGATCCCCGCCGTGTCGTGCCTCCAAACCTCCGGTAAAACCCCAAGCGCAACGTCCCACAATTTTCGTGGCCCCAACAGAGACCCCGGAATTTCGCACCGGAAGTTTGGGGTTCGGGGTTTAGGATTCCGGGTTTCGGAGGTTCTTCGGGCACATTTATCCCTCAAACCCTTGACAGAAAGCCCAACAAGAAGTGTAAACCCTTAACAGCGTTAACACCAAACTTTTAACGCAAATAGGCCTGCCCAATGCGGCTCTCCGAACCTTTGCAGCAAGGAAACAGGCTCTCAAAGAGAAAACTTTTAACGCTGAACGGTCTGCCGCAAGGATTGCGAGATGACGAAGCAGATCTGGAGCAGCTGCGCCGATGTCATCGTCAAGAAGGTGGGCTGCAGGCAGTATGGGAGTTTCCGAAAATTTGGGGGTACCGTATTTTGGGGTTCTTGCAACAAGAATCCTCCGGTTTGGGATACTATATCAGTGTCCCCTATTTTCGGAAACTCCCATATCCGGGTCTGAATAACGTCATACCATTTTGCTTCTAGTCCCACTCCAATTATACTGGGCTGCACCCTACTTGTGTTTCAGACCCCTGAAGCTTTCAGGGTTTATGGTGTTTAGGGCTTGCGGGTTTCAGGTTCTTGCAGCTTTCGGGGAATTCCACACGTTGCTGCTTAGACGATTCCTCAGCCCTGACCGGAACCGGTAAGGGTAGTTTGGCCGCCTTAGACCCTAAACCCTAACTAAACCCTAAATCCTAAACCCTAAACCCTCCACAGCCGGGCCATGGCTTCTCCCCGCGCGTGTTGTAGAGCGCTCGACACATCAATGTTGCAGAAGGGCCACTGCTGCAGGGCGACATCTGAGCCCCAAACACTAAAGCCATCTTAACCCGAAAGCCGAAACCCTAAACCTGAGTCTAAGCTCAAAGCATAGAAACTAAAACTGGCCACATCCTCAAAATTCAGTTTCTAAGACCAGAAGCCCTACCCATTGCAGCCCTGAAAGGATGCAAAGCCGACTCCGTCCTTCAGCAAGGGGAGAGGCCTTTGTACGCTGTAGATAAGGGTTGGGGTTCATAGATTGGACCTGAATGATGAGAATACTGTTTGGGATTTTTGTCGACTACAATTACCTTGATGGTTGGGTTTGGGTGTGCTTATGAAGGTGTAGGGTTAAGGGTTTGGTCTTAACGTGAAGGGTTTGTGGCTTGGTTTGGGTGCTAGATCAGGTGGAAGCTGTGGGGTTTGGGGTGTTTGGGGTTCAGCGGAGTTGGACCGTGAGGTTTGCGGTTGGTCTCGCCGGTTTCGGGTTCGGGCCTAGCTAGGTGTTCAGGGTGTTCGGGTTGCTGGAGGACCTGTGTTCGAAGAGTAGGAGCTTCTGCGAAGATGTAAGCGCTGGGACATATTAGGTTCCCGGTCGCATCCCACCAGTGGGAAGCTTAGCACAATCCGGATAGTGCAGTGATGATCGACTGCAGTCGCACCATGGGCTCAACCTGAAACTGTTCGGAACAAGCCCTCAGCCGAGAGTCTACACTTGGTCTCGGATGTTTCGCCTGGTACATGTAAACAAAAGGCCCAAGGACGCATGAAGCAAGAACAAGACGGCTGTATATATACATATATATATATATATATACATATTGATTGTGGATGGTCACCCGCCCTTGACCGACCATCCCCTTCAAACCATCGCTCCCACCGGCGTGTTCTGGGACCGACACCACCCTTTCCTTTCCCCGCGACGGTCTGTCATTGAGTCATGGGGGGGGGGGGCGGGGGTGTGAGAATGTAGGTATATATATATATATACATATATATATATATATATATATACATACACACATACACACACACACACATATACAAAAAGCACCACCCTGGGGGCCCGCTTGTGTGTGGTTCATGGAGGGTCAGCAGTTCTGTGTTGTACAATATAGATATAGCTGCAGTTTAAATCTTTCTACTTTTAAGATCCTCCTTTCCTTCTTCAACTAATATCCTACATCAGTTATGCCTCCCTCCCCGGGGCCTCTCTTGCTTCTTCAATCAATCTCCTACGTCAGGTATACTTGTAGTTCCCCATGCCATGTCGTAGGAATCTTTAGCATGTAGTAGGAAACAGTTTAGCCTTGAAGCTAACTCTTCGAGAGACACCTTTAAACTAATTCTCCAGCTTGCAAAATAGAGTTGGTAACATCCTCATGCAGGTATGGGCCTTATCTTCGACTGCGTGTTAGAATGCATTGGTTGTGTCAGTTTCCTGTGTAACCGCAGTCGTGCAAGCTGTGATCATTGCTAGCTCACCCAAGCGAAACACCGCGGTCGAGATTGTATGCAGATCGACGCAATCCAGAGTTCCCAAGGCTCTCTGCTATACGCTCGTTCGCTGAGGCGGATATGCTGTCTGCGTTCATGCAGGGATGTTCAGCATTGACGAATGTCCTCGTTTTCGACGGCGCTTACGTGACGACCTCGTCCTATGCTGTGGAGCTGGACATGGTCATCGCCTTGGACAAAGTTTCTGAGAAGATCAACGGAAGTCAAATCACGGGCGAAGGCTCTGCGGCCAGCATCGCTCCCACATGCTGCGCTACGACGCGTTGTCATCGTGGATCCTGTCGCGCCGTGCCTGTCACAAAGAACTGCCTCCTCTATGCGTTCTCCATCGTCGCGCCTGACGTAAGCATGGAAGCACTGCGTGTGCACTGCTCGTCGACCGCCCCCATGAGGGCAATGAGTCTGAACCACGCTCTCAAACAAGTTGTGGAGTCGAACTCGACTAAGTGCTGGCAGTTGATCCACGCCAACGGCGATCACATGATTGCAACGTCCAACTAAATTAACTAAATATGGATCGGTCATCAAACAACTGGTCTTGGACATGGACATTGGTGGGCGGCTATTTTCCCACAAAGTGGAGGTGTTGCCATCAGTGACGGTTGGTCCGAGGATCGCCACCCGTGGCTCCCTTTCAGTGACTTCCAGGCGCTAATGGAGAAGACGGACAACATCACATGCTTCCGCCTCATCGAGCAAGACACCTCCAGCTCGATACCAACAAGCCCTGAATACACGCTTTCCGGAAATGGTCCTCGTCCTATCGCCTCGAACAATAACAAGTTCGCTACTTCCTGGAAGTCCTGCATTTTTCGGTGTATGGCAACCGTCAGAAAACACAAGGGTTTGAAGCGTGCCAAATCCTGGTGTGTGGATCGTTTTCATGCCCGCGGACTTTCTAACATGTGTGAATGTTCACCCGTCAATGTGAAGGATTTGGACAATCGGCTGGCGGGTGTCAACATTTCCATAGCTGAACAAGCCTTCGCTTGGTTCAGGGGCTATGCGGCGACCTTCAACAGCAAGTCAAGCGGTGCACACATCTTCACCGTCTTGTGCTATGTCGATCGCCAGAACAACCAACCTCACCCGGCAGAAGAAGCCAGCAACAGACAAGTACACGTGTCGACGCCCGGCAGCAGCATCCTCCTCCATGTCTTGCAAGCCGTCCATTACCTCGACGTCTATCCGCCGCAAGCCAGCTTCCTCCAAAACGAATGTCGTCAAGAAGCATCTGAAGAACACCAAGTGAGAGCCGACCAGACCTCGTGGTAATTAAACTTCTTGTACACATTTTGATGCGTCCTTGTTCTGCGACTTGGTTCAATCGTGTCACAAGTTGGTCGCAAAGTCTGCGTGACTTCAGTACATGTCTCGATATCGGTGTTTCCACAAGCCATCATTCCTAGTTCGGTATCTAGCAGTATGCCATAGTTCTCGAACGGAGTTCCTTCTGGGGTAGGCTGTCACTGCTGCGGTAGTCAGGCTATTGCGTCCTGCACGACGGGCTCGCCCTAGATTTGGACCAGTTCGCAGTCGATGTCGGAAAACCGCTAGATGTGCTCCGACTGAAGAGATCTACAGATCAATTGCGTGCGATACAATAATGTCAGTTTGTGATATGAAGTATGTACAAGTTCCATAGTATGCATGTCTGACAGGTCTGGACTTCAGCGTATTGACCTTCGGCCGTCAGTTCAGTGTAAGCGATGCGACAATACGTGTCCTGACATAAATCATGGTCACATGTAAACTTCCAGTCTGGAAAGTAGAAGCTAAAGTAGCAGAACATAGCGCTAAAAAGGCTGGTTTGCTCGAGAATAGCAGGCTCGCCGACATACGCTGCAGAAATATCTGTATCTATATAAATACATAAACATTTTTACATTTTCCATTATTCATATTATGAGTTGTATGAGTATTGTTCTTATAACATAATACAGTAAAGTCGATTGTTTTTATATTGTACTATATTATATTGTATTATACAATATTATACTCTATTATATTCCATTCTATTACATAATATAATCTCATATTACATTATATTGCATTCTAACGCATAATATGACATATATCATATCTCAATATATTATCATATATTATATTCTATATACATGTGTCTGACTGTGTACCTAGTATACCTAGGTCTATGCAGATGCATATTTTGCAGTTTATACATGAAGATCTGTACAAACACATGCGCACACGCACATACACATGTATGTGTGTTTATATTCCGCATACGTCCTTACACACACATGTGTGTCAGTGTATGTACATTATGTATGTAGGTAGGTAGATGCATGTGTATGCGTGTATGCATTGATGTACGTATGTACGCATGTATGTATTTATGTACGGATGTATGTATGTATGTATGTTTGCGTATGCATGTATGTATGTAGAAAGTAGGTAGGTATGTACATATGTATGTACGTATGTACGTACGCATGCATGCATGTCTGCCCGCCTGTCATGTCTGCCCGTCTGTCCGTCTGCCTCCGTCCCTCTGTCCGTTGGCGGGCAGGCAGGTAGGTGGGACGGAAGTTGGGTGGGAAGGTAGTTTTGCGCAGGTTCAATTTTTATAGGTATGTGTATGTGTATATCTATATATATATATATATATATATATACAGCGAAACCCAGAAAGTTGGAGCATGGGTTTGGGAGGATTCGTGTTAGGATCCCGTATGCTTCTACCTTGAGCTCATGAGGAGAACGATGTTCCAACTTTCTGGCTTCTACTCTATATATATATATATACATACATACCGAACACATGCACACATAGACATATACACATGCATGCATGTATTCATACAGATAAGATAAGTACACGGTACGTACATAGTTACATAAGTTACACATGTAAGCGTGGGTCTCGAATGCTCCGTTTTTCGCTCTTGCAGAATGCAGCGCGTGCTGCACTGGTGGTATTTGCGGCCACTGCAAAGAGTGCCGGGACAAGAAGACAGGACTGCTCATAAGCTCCCATTTCAGATCCTCGAGGATCATGTGGGCTTGAACTTAGAGACTCCCTTTTTGGTGCCTTAGAACTATCCATAACTAACTTCTTAGCAACATCGATTCTGTGTAGCAAGCACCTGACGCCGCAACCGCCCCAAAGCGCCAAAACCCTAAAACCCAAAATTACATTAAAATCGTTACCTAAGCCCAAAGCCCCAAGCTCGACACCCCAACCCTTAAGCCCTAAACCCGGTGTCGGAGTTCGGTTTATTGCTTGCTGGGCCATGGGATTCTGTCGGATTCTCGGGCATCAGGGGAAATTGGATTTTGCCCCCTACACATCAGGATTCGTAAGATCGCAATCTTTAAATTCAAGAAGTTTGGGTGTTTTAAGAGCCTCCACACACCACCCTCATAAGACGGAACCCTTCTACCAGCCCGACAAACCTTGCCAGAAACACCGCAACCGCAAGTAAGCCTTTACAGACACTTTGTAACCCCTTTGAAACGTTCAAGAATCCCCCTAACCCTAAACGCTAAATCCTACACCCTTGAAGTCTTCAAGAAGCCCCCCAGATCACGGAGGAGAGTGCGAAAAGTGCTGGAAGGTTCAGCCGTGGTGGGGTGGCCGCACCTCGCCGGTAGAGGCTTAGGATGGCTTAGGGTTTAGGGTGTAGGGTTTTGGGTTTAGGGTTACAGGGGCCTTAATAATTACCAATACTATACTGGAGGTTCCTTATCATAATTGTAGAAAAATGGGCCTCAAAACCCTATTCTAATTACAGTAGAGGCCTCGGGTTTCTTCCGAATTCCTCGGGTTTGGGGCGTCTTTTGGTTTTTGCAATCTAGGCAAGATGCAGGTGAACCTGTTATTCATATTGATTGTTGGTGTGGGCATCAGAGTTTTGTGAGGCAAGTTTTGTTTTGTTAGCTGACCCTTGTAGTATCTCGTATTGCAAGTACACAGTAGCCCTGGGTAGATTTGACCCGAGATGTTGGGTTTAGAAACTCAGTTGAGCTTTCCGAAGCCGTTGCCTCGTCATCGCTCCGTTTCGTGACCCTTAGATTTTATCAGTCGAGAAGGCCACCCGAAGCCCCAAACTCTCAGGCTCGCTGCCTCTTCTGGCATTTTGTTTTGTGTGTGTGTGTGCATTTTATCGATGATTTGGCATACTATCTCCCGTACAGCCCGTAACCCTGTGCAATTTACTTGAATTGTAAAGGCCACAATGTCGAACCCTATCCTTGCTGGTTGCGTGTCGTTGTTGAGTCCCCGGGAAGATCCTAAACAAAAAGCCTTGTACCAGATCTAAGCTGGGTTGTAAGCTTTATACGCCCTGAGCAGCGTAACAATGCACACAACCCGCCTGAAACCCATGGCGAAAAACTAAACCCAAAGCCTTGAACCTTGAACCCTCATCCTTAAACCCTGAAGTCTCAACCTTAAACCTCGCCTGAAACCCAAAGCGAAAAGCTAAACCCAAAGCCCTGAACCTTGAAACCTCATCCTTAAAAGCAGAAAACTCAACCCAAAACCCCGGCTGAAACTCAAAACGAAAACTTAAACCCAACCCGCAAAGATTCAGGCTTGTTATAATGAAAGGGAGGCGTGAAGTTGCTAGAGAGCTGTGAGTGAGTCAAGGCGGCCAAGATACAGCAACAAACGGAATAAGAAAAGCGGTGGTCCAGAACCCTGAGGCTAGGAGGGGGGAGGGGGATCAGGACCATCTGGGCAGGCGTTTGTCAATGATATCGTCTTTTTGGGCATCGGGGCAGGGGGCAAGCGTCTGTTAATGACATATCATACTGTCCTTGATGTCTTTGTGCCTATCGTTGACTGCGCTGAATCCTGGGGCGTGCGGGCGTCTGGGCAGGTGTTTGTGAATGGTATCATCTTTTTCATGTTTCGTCATGTCATTGGCTTTCGTTCATGCTGTGACCAACGAGTATTGCCATGACTCCGTGGCGGGGACCCCCGGGCTTGTCGACACGCCACTTTGTTCATTAAGGGGTGTGCAGGTTTCGTTCCAGGTATATGACTTTCATACGGTTCCACAGCGGCCTACAGGGGCCTGGGCGTTCAATATTTTTGGGATTGGTTTCAAGGTTCCAGGTTGAGATTGAGAACTGGGGGGTTAGAGCTGGGGAGCAAAGCATACTAAACCTGAGAAGACTGTATAACACCCTTGCACAATCCTGTGAAATGCGGTCTCTTCTGAGACGTGCCGCAGCAAGCTCTTGCGCAACATTCGTTGGGTATTTGGGCGGCGTTCACATGGTGACCACCCAATTTTCGCGTCGCGAGTCTGTTGGCACGGAGGCGCCTCAGGTAGTCTGGGGATGTTCTGCTGAGTGTGCATTCGGGGACCATTCTACAATTTGTGCTGTCTGTTCTTTGATCACCAAACGCCTTCGCGGTATGCTGGGGTCCAAGGTCGTTCTGATGAGCTGTAGGAGGCCATGTTCCATGTGCAGCAGCAGTAGTGGTTTTTCATATCTGCATTTCTCAAGTAGGATTGTGGAAAGAAGAGCCATAGCACAAAGTCTCAGAAATATCTTTAGAAAGGAGGTCAAACCAACCCCCCTGGGTTGTGAACAGAATCACCAGCTTTAGCTTGTGTTCCTATGGCGGCGTATCAGTCAAGCAACTTTTTTATCAAGTTTCCAAGCACCAATGAAGTGGTCGACCACGCGGACTTGTCGGAAATCGAGGCTGGCACAATCACACCCACAAACGCCACATCGAGAAAAACATCTCTGCCGCGGAACAAGGATACACCCATTACTCCGCACGAAGGACTGGGCCCTGGAACTGCATTGGCTGTTTGAGCGGCGGTGCTCCAATGGGGAACCGGAACGCGGCAAATGCTGGGTGGCAGAGTGTCGTTGAACAGTTGCAGTCCACTGTAACAGCCGGACACTCGGAGGCAAGCTTCTTTTTGTGGGAGGGCGCCAAGGACCACATCATCGTAGAGATGCGTGGTGGCTCTTTGGTTGTCCGCTCGAAACAATCCACGCAGAACAACGCAAGCGTGGAAGATGTTGATCACCAAACTTTGGTTTCAGCTCGCCTTGCCATTACGACGGCCCCTGAGGAGTTAATGTATGCTGATGCGGACATTCAGATCGAGCGGTTTGCCCATTTCTTCGCTTTCCAAGCGGATGTATTTTTGCAGCGATCGCCGCTATCCACGCCAAGCCATTCAGGGGTAATGATCTCGCCCGACCCAACTTTCCGGTCGTTTTCTTGGCCGACTTTCTTTGCGAGCCAATCCGGCATGTTGCTCTTTGTCCGGGGCACAGTTATTCCAGATTTGTTGGAACTGGATTTGCCCATCGGCCGATGCCTCATTCTCATGCTCCTTTTCCGGTGGATGTCTGAGGAGGCTGCATGGTTTGGAGTTTTGAAGCCCGCCATTGCAAGCGCTCTGGCATCTCAAGATGGGCAATTTTGGGGTCCGCTCCTGGACGCGATGAAGCGGGAACTGTCTGAGTACCCCCTTTCCTGGGCGCATGTTTTCCACAAGAGATGCCAGAAGACCTGCCCACTTGCACCTCGATGATGTGAAAAACCAAGCATTGCTAGCGCAAAATCGCGGCTGCAGATGCGTCGGTCTGGGCGCAGACCCTTGCCCAAGAGACGGTAGCACCAACACGCACATCTGCCAGATGCCGCATGCATGGTCCGCTATCTTGCTGGCCTGCGCACGTGGTTGGGGAGAGAGGGAGGCATCCATTGAGACGTGTTTCTGGGAAGGCTTGGCTGGTTTGAACGACTATGTCACGAGCCAAATCGAGGGAATCCGGTGGTTCAAGACGCTTTCGCTTTACGGCAGGCGTTGAACATCCCAACGCATGTTGACGATCCAGGTGTTGCTGATGCATCAGATGCCATCGGGTGGGAGGATACAGAGGATTGCTCCAACTTGGGTCCAGGAGCTTTGCAAGATCTAACGTGGCTGGCGCCTGGGCTGAAGCGACCCATGCTGGCGCTCGTAGCCATCAGAAACGCCGTCCGCACGATGCTGCGTGGAAACACCGATGCAGAGGGGTGCCCAAATATACTGGCAGTGGCATACGGCCATTGTTTGCACAAGTGTACCAGCTCACGAGAGCGCGTATTGCAGTTACAGCGCTCAAGTGCAACTTTGCGAGCACCTGCGGAAACGCGATGCAGATGCTGGCATGCCATCTCCGTTCCTGCTTCCTTCGACCACGCAAATGTCGGACGTTGCGTCTGCGCAATACTTGGCCAATGTGTATTACAAAGCCTTGCAAAAAGCCGCAACGAAAACCCCCACCTTGAACCGCCAGTTGGCTATCAAATACGAAGAAAACCCCAGCCCACTGTCGAAAGTGATGAGGCAGGGCGGTTGCCTTGTATGCAACAGTGTGGCTGGGGTTAACCTCTTGAAATGCAGTTACTGCCCACAGCATTGTCCTGTTCCTTCTTGTTGCGTGAAGTCTCACCGAAAGCAATAAACATGCAGCACTGGTGGAACCCAAAAAGCGACTGCACACAACACTGGGCAGGTTAGTTCATGCATTGGCTTTGCAAGCAGGTCATTCATTGGATTTTGCTTGCCGTCATGATGCCAGATTTCTACAAATGGCGCTTGGCCCACCTCGCACGGTGGCACTCGCCTGGTTGCAGGCACGACTCTGTGATGTGCCCCACCCCATGTAACGACGGAGCCATCTGTGCGGATCGCTGCGAACGCTGCGTCGTGGACTGGATGGCCGAGACATTGCACAACTGTTCCTGCACCGTGCTAAAGTCGCCTCCGCTGAATTCTGAGCCCCATGTCAAAACGGATCCTTCGGTCAAAATGGCCGCGAAAGCCCTCGATGACGATTGGATGGCGGTGACGTTTCGCACAGGCGCAGAACTGCTTTTGCCCCAAGTAACGACGGATCCATCGTGGAGAAGCGCCGCAAAGGCTTCACGTGCCGCCTGAATCTGCCGCACGTCTTTCAGTTGCTTGGTATGAGGTTGCTAACTACGCTTGCCTATCTCCTAATACTTCTGAAAGAGCCTTCCCAGGGAGAAAGGAGGGGGCCCGAGCGGCCAGGATGTGTGCTTTTGCTCGATAGCGCAACGTTTTGCTTTCAGCTAGTATCTAAGAATCTAAGACACCAGCACGCCCCCCCCTTCGGCTACAAAGCGGCCATGGAGCAGGATCTTTAGCCTTAGTTTATGCACCCCTACGGGGTGTTCCTGACGGCGAGTGGCTCTTTAGAACTTAAAAAACCCTTGAAGGACCCCTATAAACCTTTTTATGGAACCCTCAAAGGGTACCGCAAGTGGAAAGCCTTTTGAAGTATCCATAGTGCCCCTTAGGGCTCCTTAATATCATTGTACACTAATTTACACCGAAGACCTTTTCTGATTATTAAAGCCCCTATATCCCGGAACCCGCAGAGTAACTTGAAACCTCAAACCCGTTATTTTTTCAGCGCATCGATGTCAACTAGCTCCAACCTTCCCCGCTGCTGAGGCACTTTCTGGACCCCACGATCGAAGGCAGTGGGGAGAGCCCTTTCGTGGAGTGCCTAGTGCTTTCCGGGTCGAATGCTGACGATAAAAGTGCTACTATACAGGGACCATAATAGTTAGACAATGTTTTTTGTAGGGCTTTTGTACTTTACCCTGTGTCCCATACCTTTGACCCTGAATTTTGCTCCATCGAACCTCCCTAAGGGCTCCGGGTCCTTGGGGTCTACTTTGAGGAGGGTTCCTGGTTCAATCTTCTGTTGGATCTTGTGAGCCTTAAACCTTCAGGACAAGCCAAGTGCTTGGAGACCCAATCTGAACTTTGCAGTTTGGTTGCACCATACCCCCAATCCAACGTCTGTGGGCTGCATCCCAAGCTGTGTTCTGGAGACCATCCCTACGGATCCCTACGGAGGGGTTCTGAGCAAACAGACTGTAGAGGAAAGAAGGTCGAGGAGCTGTAGCTTCCCCGCGGCCAAAGCATCCGCCATGGGTTGAGGGTCTGGTTCTTCGCAGTAAAGGACCAAGAAGCGGCACACAAACCCAATACCCGAAGCCCTGGGCCCTTAGCTGAAACCCTCGACCCTAAACCCCAAACTCGAAGCCACGAACTCCAAACTTGAAGCCCACAAGATTGCGCCACAAAATTCAAGGGCTTACTAAACCGGCCTGAGGAATTAGAGGTAGTATTCTTTACGGTTCCCTATGAATGATAAATGCATTGTAACACACGCCAAAACACGATTCGAACTTTAAAGCCTCTGTATGAATCCCCGTAAAACCCCATTATGTAACAGCCTTAATCTATGTACAAGGCGGGGCCCCTCCGTTATGCCTCCGGAATAACTGGCAGAGGCCCTCCAGTGCCTGGGCGGAGTGGAGGAGGAGCGGCTGAAGTGTGTAGGATGTGGGGTTTGAAAGGGTTGGGGGGGTGGGGGGTTTTGAGCATAAAGATTTCGTTGGCGTTTTGGGAGATTTAGGGTAGGGTGTTGCGAGGGTTTCAAATGTGCAGGTTTGTGTGAGGATTTCCATGGTCGTGCTTGTTTCGCCCATCGGAGGTCTGTCCACATGCATGCCTTTGTTCGGGTCTTGACCATAAGGGCACCGCTAGTTACACTTCTATGAGTGGGCATCAGGAAGAAGGAACCCTAGCCCTAACCCGAACTGCAGCCTGAAGTCTATGCACTTCAAAGATGGGGTGAACTTTGGACGGCAAAAGGCCCTAGGCCAGCAAAAGCGGACTTAATTTCGCGGCCCTAGATCCCAACCCGACACCAGCTTGAACCCTAAGCCCCCAAAACCTTAAACCGAAAACCTACGACCTATGATGCGTGGAGGAGTACACGGCCGACCAGGAGCTCGAACCGGCGTGGTCACCAGGCGCCATGCGAGTTCAGGAAGGCAGTAGCGGGGTTTAGGATTTAAAGTCCTTACACCCTAAACCCTAAACCCCTAAACCCTAAACCTCTAAACCCCTAAACCCTAAACCCCTAAACCCCTAAACCCCTAAACCCCTAAACCCCTAAACCCCTAGGCCCTAAACCCTAAACCCTAACCGTTATGGCCGACCTTCTAGGGCCCTATGAAGTGGTGGGGAGTGTATGACTCGGAAGAGTAGGCGGGAGGAACTGGGGCTGGACCCAGACAGGCCTTCGGTATTACCCTCTCTCTCTTTGTGGTTGCACGGGGTCGTGGCCTTCGAAAAGTTTTGGGCGGCTTTCGCCAAACTGCCAGCCCTTCCAAATCTGCACAAGACCCTAAGCCCCAAACCCTTCAACTGTCGGGTTTAGGGATGGGGGATTCGCTAAACCCCAAACCCTAAACCCTAACAGATTCCAGTCCGTCGCAGGCTGCGAGAAGTGCTGGGACGATCCCAAGGGCTCCTCCGTCGCACCCTGGTCCCCCGGGCTACTATAGGAGCCTTCACAAGTACCTACACTATACTTGAAGGGCTCCTTACTATACTTATGGTATTAGTGTACCCCAAAACCCTATTCACATTATGAAGGCCCCTATATCACTCTGAGAGCTCCGTGCAGCAGAGTGGCACCTGAGGTTGTGAGGCCCATGTGCGTGGCGTCGACCGGGACCTTATCAAAAAGTCACTTGCCTTCGATCTCCCCCCCAAGTTTCGCAAGTCAAGGTTCTCAATACCCAAAGCCCAAAAACCCAAAACAGGGGATGACGCTGTAGCATTCGGGGTGGCTACATGGCCGGGGTTTAGGAATCCAGGCAGAGTCAAGAAACTCTAATGATGCCACGGCAACAGATGAACTCTTGACTGGACCTTGTTTCGTACCAGTGCCATGTTGTTTGGGGAGTTAGAAGGTTTGCTATGGCTTTACGAGGTTTCGATAGGGTTTCCATGGGCGGTTTCATGAGGGTCTTTTTGCGATTTGACAGGTGAATAAACTCGAAGCCCCCAAGAGCATCTGTTTGGCCAAGGGCAGACTGGACAAAGGATTTGATGTTCTACGGCGTCATCACCCTGGCCATCATCGCCGGCGGGCTTAGCCTGCTGCTTTTGGTGAATGCGCCCGACTCAGCTGGCAGAGTCTCTCTTGGATAGGTGGTTTTTAGAATCTTGATTTTGGAGGGTGTTTTTGGCGTAGCACGCGGCTTCAAGGTTCTAAGAATGGGTCCCCACCCTGGCAGCCGTCATGACCCTGCAAAACCCCCGAACTCAGCTCTTATCATCGGTGCCTGCAATACGCCTCTCCATGGATCGAGGCCTGTCGGAAGCCAGCCGCTCGTGCAGCCGGAGACGGGGGTTCGGTTGGCTTTGTTTCCTGGCTGCAGCTGAGACCCCCTTTTTTGTCGAGGCTACACTCCTCCCGATGCCTTGAACCATGCACCAGACACCGGGATGGAGGGGCATTTGCTGGCGTTAGGCAGAACCCTCCTCTTGTAGCTCTAGGTCTAGGACGTTAATCTTTTTCATTGTAGTTCCGGAATTCGCAAGACGGTGACACCATCCATAGATCTGTGGGTAAAGCTTTCGAGGGCTTTGGGTTCAGGATTTCAGGATTCAGCTGTTTTGGAGTTGGCAGTTAGAGCATCGACAGCAAAGCTAGCAACAGGTGAGTAGCATTTGGGACGATAAAGATGGTGAGACGAGTTTGTTTGCACATCACCGCCTTAATCTCGGCCACATGTTGCGAGAACGGCCCGGAAGCAAACATGCGCTGTACATGTTCCCCTTCTTCTTCTTCTTCTTCATCATCATCATCATCTTCTTCTTCTTATTCTTCTTTGTTGTTGTTGCTGCTGCTATCTGCTGCTGCTTTCTGCTGCTGCTGCTGCTGCTGCTGGTGCTGCCGCCACTGTTGTTGGCAGTGAACGTGATGATCATGATGATGATGTTGGTGATAACGACGATGGAGATGATTATGATGATGACGGTGATGATGATGCGGGTGGTCGTGGTGGTGGTTTCGGCGGTGCTTGCGAGGATGCTGCCGATGAGGATGTAGCCCATGATGAGACGTCGTTTGCTGATGATCGTTCTCAGAATGCCGTTGCCGGTGACCAATAGACGGTCTTCAACAAAATTGTTTAGGCCCTGGCGGCGCTGCATTTCAGAGCTGTAGGTTTCGAGAATTTCAGGTTTCAGGGACCCCCCAATTACCAGTATTGTGGTTAGGGCTCCTTAGTATAATTATAGTATAATGGGCCCCAAAACCCCGAAACCACGAAAGCCAAAAACAAAATTGTAGACAGTTTGCACAGTCCAAGGAGATGAGATCTGCCTGATGTCAGTGATGGCTTTAGGCTAGTCGCAGATGCTGGTCTGAGACAGCCTTGCCATTTGGGTTGAAGCTTTGGGGTTTATATGGGAGTTTCCGAAAATGAGGGTACCTTATTTTGGGGTCCTTGTAATAAGGATATTACTATTCAGGGTACTATATTAGGGTCCCCTGTTTTTGGAAACCCCCGGTAACCCCCATATAAGGTTTCGGACTTAGGATGTAATGCTTAGGGTTCAGAAGGTGGCATGAAGGTCCCGGCTTTGGGGCTGAATTCGTTGGTCGGCCTCACCCGCTAGCCTGGGGCTAACTACATCAGTATGAGGATCGTAGTATGCAGAGCTCTTTTTCCGCACCGGCATCCTTACAATTAGCACCACAGCCATCGTCAGCATCATCAGCATCATCAGCAGCATCACCCGCGCCCTCAGCCTCACCCTCACTCTCGTCAGCGTCATCGTCATCGTCATTACTATCATCATTGCCATCGTAATCATCATCCTTATCATCATAAGCATCATAAGCATCACAACCATGATCACCATGATCATCTTGATCAGCATGATGATCATCTTGACGATCACCGCCACCATTCTACCCTTTTCGCCATCTTTATCTTCATCGACATCGTTCATCGTCATCGTTCATCGTCATCATCATCGTCATCATCATTGTCATCATCATCATCATCATCACGGTGACGGCCACGATAAAACAACAACGTCATCCTCAGCAATACTTGGCTGCCTGCCTGCCTGCCTGCCTACCATGCATGCATCTTCCTCCGTTTCCTGCCCTTCATCAGACTCCCAGCCCTTGGCGCCATCATCGTCGTCATCATCCACCGCCATTGTGCTAGAGATGAAGATCATGCCACCACGCTCATGGGCCGAAAAGTGCCAAGCCCCGAAGCTTCAACCCGTGAGCCCGGGCCCTACACTCAAAGCTTAAGTGGCCAGGGCCTGTGCCGCGCCCCCTTTGCTCCATGTCCGGTTTCGTTTCTCGGGGCTTAGGACTGCGGGTCCAAAGGGCCAGCTGTATGCAGCCAATGTACAAGGCATGTGGGAGTTTCTGAATGTCACGGTCCTGTTGCATGGCTTGAAGGCTTAGGGCACGGCGCTTGTATAGTCTTAGGGGTACTTAGGAAGTTTTTTTTTTTTTTTTTTTTATATAATTTTTTGGTTATTATAATATAATCCCTCAGAAACAGCTAAAATTATAATTTTTGGCAGGGTTCTAAGTTCAGTATAGCAGTTTCAGGGCATTGGGCTTCTACAGTTTCAGGTTTCTGGGGTTTGGTCTTCGAAAGCTTTTTTTCGGACCTTTGCCTGAGCAACTTCCAGATCACTGCCTGCTGGCATTGTCGAGAAGACAAGCAGCCTGTTTCCGGCAAGAAAGACAGAGCACTTACACTGTGCATCGCACCAATAACAGCAAGTGAGCAACAGAGTAATGGTGAGAATGATAGCATAACAGTTCGTGCTTGAGCGCTTCCTTGTGCACTTTTCGATGTTCGAGACTCTAGAAACCTAACCCTAAACCCTAAACCCTTAAGCCATGTGCCGTATGTCTTTCTTGTTGCTGTCTGCGACTCTGCACGGAGTGCAGACGACTGGACCGGGCCGGGGAGAAGGCTTTGCGGCTTTGGTTTAGGGTTTAAGGTTTAGGGCATTAGGGATTAGGGTTTAGGGATTAGGGTTTGGGGTTTAGGGATTAGGGTTTTGGGATTAGGGTTTAGGGTTTAAGGTTTGGGGCTTGGGGTTAAGGGTTTAGGGTTTAGGTGCAGGGTTTAGGGCTGGGCCGTTATGGGTGTTGCATCTTAGAGGTTACGGCGAACGGTCTGCAGGTTATCAGGGTTCATCCTTTGGGTTTTTCTCTGAGGTTCGGGAGCATGCAGCGATCTCGGGACAGAACACCATCGGCCTCCGAGATTAGAAACGCGGCCCTGGGCCCCGAGCCACCCAAAGCCCTGCAGAATCGCTTAATCCCAATATCCTTAAGCCTTCGAAGCGTTGCAAAACCTTGTGCTTGCCTCCCTGGCCAGTCTGAGTTTCTGGGCGAGCAGACTTGGTACAGCGCTTAGGATTTACAGCTTCGGGTTGTTGACCCAGCACCAAGTGCTCTGTTGTTGAAAATCCCAACGTTGTTCCAGGAGAACTTCCCCAATACTACTATGCCTATTGCTCTTCCTCCTCCCACTCCTACTCCTACGCCTAGTCTCACTTTTTCTCTTAGTCGTACTCTTACTCCTTTCCTTACTCCTACTTGTGCTCGTAAGCTTCGATTCAGTCGTAATCACTCGCTGACTTTTGCCCTTCCTCTTTAGCAATGCTTTCACATTCGACGCCGCCGGAGAACCCGAGAAGAAGGCTCAGGAGCCGGAGGAAGAGTTTCATGTTTTCAATGCGCCCAGGAAGCGAGAGAAACATACGGCCAAAAACAAGCCAAAAAGGACGAGAAGCGGAAGAAGCCATCCGCCGTGCCGCCGTACGCACCACCACAGCGGCGGTGTGCATCCAGAAGCTGGAGAAGCTGAAGAACACAAGCTCCAAGCGGCAAGCCAGGCAATCTACGATATGAAAGCGCTGTACACCAGAGATGCGACAACGAAGCAGACGAGACAGATCGACGGCCACTTGCGTAGAGGCCGAGAGTGGAATGCCTGGCGGTGAGCATCTGTGTCAGCTTCACTCCGTCTCGCGCACCGTGAGATCCGCTACCCACGGAAGCCGGGACTGCGCGGCTGTGTCTGTAGCACAGGAGACACCTGGCCTGGCACCACAGCTTGTGTGACATTGATTGTGTCCTACAACCCCATTATCGAAACAGATGAAAAGAAGAGCCATCCGGAAGAGAGGCTGTAGGGACTTCTTGCGCAGACGTGTGCGGAGGCTTGCATGTGTTTGTCTATTCTCCTAGTACATCGAGGGGTGCATCTGCAACAGGTGTAAATCTGCATGACTGGACATGTCTGTGAATGGGTTGGCATGAAGCGACATGCTGGATACCGACGAGGGACGCTTGTCGTGCCAGTGCAGAAAAACCTTTAAACCCGAAGGCCCCAAACCCTCAAAATTCAGACATATGAATCATGGAGCCGGTTAGATTGGATCCAATGAAACCGAATTTTCACGGATGTCGGCCTGAGTCGGCCTGTTTTGTTTGCCCCTCTGAGCTCGTTGTGCTTCGGGTTTAACGAAAGCTTAAACCCGACACCTTAAATCAAAAAATGAAACTGCACCCCAAGCCCTAAACACCTACATAAGCCCTAAACACCTACATAAGCCCTAAACTTCAGAGCGATTCATGTTGCAGACTCCAAGTCTGATGGCTCCGATTCGTAGAGTTCCATCGTCGAATGTCAACCTGGGGCCTATGAGAGCCCTGATATCGGTGTTTGTTTTTATAGGTGGGAAACTCGTTTTTTCTGATAAGTTTGAAACCCTAGATATTTCTTCAAATTTGATAACTGTTTCGATTGGGGTTTAAGGTTTGGGGTCAAGGATACCTAGGTAGGACCAAGATCAGCAAAATTGCACGTGTACATCTTGCGGCATGCAATATGCCTGCAATCATCATACACTCCGTTTGCTCCAGTCAACCGAGTGCTTGTTTTTTTGGTTGATTGGGTTTCAAAACCCTAAACCCCAAACCCTAAACCCCAAACCTTAAACCCCTAAACCCTAAACCCCTAAACCCTAAACACCTTAACCCCTAAACCTTAAACCCCTCAACCTCTAAACCCTAAGCCCTCCTTGCAGAGCTCTGGGCTCTGAGTATCTTCGGGATTGGAGCTTCGGATTCCGGGTGGATGTATGTAGCGAGTTCGACTCTGATATAGGCAGTATGTCGGCATGTGTTATGTATTGTGAGTCCGTACCCTACTGTATCTGCTGCTGGTGTTCGTTCAGTTTCATAGACCATGAGTTGATCCAGGCAAGTATATCCGCACTGCTTTTGGCATATACATATACTATACACACGTCGATGCCTAGAGTCAGTTGCATCTATGAGGATCGCGCGCTCACGGCCGCAGAGGTAAACTCGCCTACCGCTCAGCGCGATTTGCAGCGAAGCAAAAAGGGGGGAAGCACCTCTGCGCCGGTTTTTTTGGTGGCTTCGACAGGGTTTGGGTTTGAGCCTGAAGCCCAGAAGGCCGATAGCTGCTGTGCCCGGACATCCATCCTCTGAGCCTGATGGTCGCACCCCCGAAAGGCCCCGAAAAGATCGCATTCCCCAGTCCACTCAGCAGCATTGAATGCAGGCGTTCAAGGCTTGGGACGAAGACAGCTCCGGCTGGATTGCCTCTCGTCTTCGTTTCGGGATTCCAGGTTTACGTCGGGTGTCAAGTTTCAGAGGTGCAGTCCTCAGAAGGTTTCTTCAAGCACGGTTTCGAGCCTGATCTCGGTGTTGTTTAGGGTTAATCGAGATTTCAGGGCTCAATCAAGCACCGTTAGGTGAATAATAGGAGTCCGGGACTGAAACCAGGAAGTGTGCTTTTGGTAGGCCAAAAGGCCAAGCCTTGATAGAACATCACCAATTCTGTTCAGAAGAGCTGTGGACGTTGCTCTCCTGCTGCGGCTGGTCGTAGCCAGAAGCAGCAGCGGGCGACCCCGCGGTAAGAAGACTAGTGGTGTTTCGACTCTTCTGCACCTTGAAGCCTCCACACCCTCGCACCCCTCACAATTTCAGTATCAAAGCACGTACATCACCTAACCCAAGGACACCGGTGAGCTTCGCCGAGTCCTGAAGGCCTGACGGGCTTATCGTATTTTGGGGCTCCACCGGGGCCATGGCGTTTTGCTTGAAGGTTTCGGGGTTCATAGAGTCATCGAGGGTTCTCTCTGTGCGCGGCAAAATGGTTTTTTTTGTGGGGTTCTCTACGGGCTTCGTGGTGTTCGGCAGGGGTTTCGGCGTGGCAAGCGCCAGCCAGTGCGTGGCCTCGGGATGAGTCAGGCCCCACATCTCTATCAAATTTGTGTGCCTACCTCACCTAAACTTCAACCCCACTGCTCTCTAAGTCGTGCGTTCTCAGCTGAACACCCGAGTCTGACTCCAGAGGCTGAAACTCCTAAGGTCCTGTAGCCTTGAATCGGCTAAGCCTTAAAACTGCAGATCCTGCTCACCGAATGAAAGTTTCAGACAGTGCGCGACAAAATATGGATCAAAAGCAAGGGGACCCTTTAGATGACAACCCCCTTAGTAAGGTAGCTCTACTTGTTAGAGGTGGTTTCATTGCACGATTTCTGTCATGCGGAGAATCCAAACCAAGCGAATAAACCGCTGCAAGGACCCCTTGTGAAGCCCCAATAAGAGCCTGATAAAACCCCAAACAAAACCAGTACAAGACCACAATCCTGAAGGACGTTTACAAAGGCTTGAACAACACTGCGCACAACTTCTCCAGAGCCCCGACAAACGTTTTTGCCCTACTCGTCATCATCATCGTCATCATCATCATAGCAATAGTACGAACTACGAAGAAGAAGAGACCCTCAACCCTCAACCCTAAGCCCCCCTAAAGCCCTAAACCCTAAACCCTAATCCTTCAGCTGGAAAGCCCGTAAGAGGCTGACTTTGCCTTCCCCCTCAGGGATTTCTGACGACCGAACAGCGAGTTGGAAAAGAGGCGCTTAAAAAAAAACCCTAATCCTTCGAAAAGAGGCCATCATGCCCAATTTTTCGGACCGGGACCTGAACGACCTCCTGCGCGTCATCGACACCAACGGCATCTGGGACTGCTTTAAAGGCTTAGGGCTTAGGGATCTAGGGAGTTAGGGTTTAGGGATTTAGGGTCTAGGGATTCAGGGTTCAGGGATTTAGGGGGTTTAGGGATTAGGCTTTAGGGTTTTGTGGCTTTGGGGTCTTGATCTTGGCCTTTGAGAGTTCTTCCCCAAGATTTATGGCTTTAGGTTGTAGGCTTTTGGGATGTTTGTAAGGTCGTGAAGGTTTGCGAGACAGGTTTAAGAGGTCTCTGCTGTGATTTTCACAGGGAAAGAAGCCTCGTATGGACGGAGTGAAAAGACGAGCTTGTGAGCTTGTGCATGTAAGTGATGACCGCTAGTTGCGTAGTGTCCCCCTTCCTTCTCTTCGCCTTGCACCTCCCTGTTAACCATACTCTTCTCGGACCGTGCCGTCATTACAGTCACCAACATCGTCACGAGCAAAATGATGGTCATGTCAATCAGATGTGAGTTCATCATTTTGTCCCGAACATGCATAGTTCTTAAGGTACTCGTGATGCCCCGCAGAAGTCTTGATTCTCGCAGCGCTCACCATGTTGGCGCGTTGCACAAGCCTATGCTAAACATGAAGCAGGTCGGCAAAGCACAAGCGTATATGTCGATCGGCATGCTACAGTTCCTTTCTAGTCCATGTGACATTCTTGTAGGATGATATACGCCAAAACCCTATTCTAATCATCAAGGTTTGAGCTCGTTCACAAAGCATAGCACCTTCGACGTTCATGAATTTTGGAAGCACGCACCCAAGAAGCTGACTTGAGTACCGCTGAACCAGAGGATTTCTTTGGCCTACTTCGGCGGTTTCTGCTTGAACAGTCTGAAGCACGAAGCCCATATTCGGGACCTCTCAAACTCCCCTGCACGCGCTTATCTGAGCGAGGCAATGGCGTGGTGGAATACGAAGAGTTCTGCCAGTGGCTGGTGAAGGAGCAACTGAAGACAGGGTCGGCGGGACTTGTCATGTTTCGGCTAGGTAGGGCGTTGGGACATTTTATATTTCCCCTTATTGGGCTTAAGAGGATCTTATTTACTAATATTTTTCAACGGCTTTAAAAGCCCTACCCAGTCGGTGTATGCCTTCCGGTTCGAACCTTGTTGTAAAGTCAGGTGGGTTTGCAAAGGCACCTAGCTTCATCTCCTTTTCTGAGGGTCCATGCAGGTATGGGAGTTACCGGTCAGAGGCAAGAACATATGTCGCTCAGGTGCTCGAGGGTGAAGTTCTGTCTGCAGTCATACAGTCCCTGGAATGTTGCATTTTCAGGGTCGGGGATCTGAAAGCTTACCAGGCTTACCTTCCCCTAGCTTGTAATGTGCTGGTCTCCTACTTCGGATCTTGTAGTGAAAGCATATCTGGCAATGGTTCGTGCGATGGCACGAGCCTGAACTCGAAGCATTTGAGTTGCGAAGTCGAGCCGTGTCGAACTCTGAGGAGAATCCCTTGGATTTCTCCAGCAGCACCTTCTCTGCCTACGTCTCGCAGCTCATGCGCGAGGTCCGCCTGGGGACCCGACCCTCCAGTGCCCACTCTAAAGGTCTTCTTGCGCGGTCGATGACACTGCCGGTCGTATTATGTCCCTGTCACCCAAGCTGTAGACAAGCTGTCAACCAATAATCTGAAGGCCCAAAACCTGAAGATCACAAAATCGCATCATTACCCTATACCGCCCCAAGTTTCCGGCCTCGCAGCACGGAGGAAGAGTACCCTGTCATGAGACCAACCGAAAAGAGTGCCGTGAGTGAGCCATCCAGTACCGCATTTCCTCCTGGTAGTGCCAGACTGTAATATCTTGTTCCTGTTCTTACATATCCGTGTCTTCAGCGTCTGCCAGAGTCTGGCACATTTGGTTTTCACTATGGAATAGTGCGTCTTGACGCGTGGCACTGTTTGCCGTCCTTCAGTGTTTTCAGTGATTCGTTTGTGGTGTGTTGTGAGTTCCTTGTGCTTATCCCAAGTTCCTCAATCTGTGTGGCTACAGTTTGCTGTCATACACTAGTAAGTCACTCGTAGTATTTGCGTTCAGTAGCTTTGTGTCTGGTACTTGCTCTAAATATTCAGGTGCCCTTGTTTATGTCGCGAATGTTGTGTTAGCGCATAGTCTGCATTCTTGTCGTCCTAGTAAGCATTTGCTTGGCTGGTTGGTGGTTGAAGACTCGATGGCGTTTCAAATGTTACTGCTTCGGCTATTGCCATCACCACCGTCGTCATCCTCGACACTATCATCATCATCATCATCGTCATCATCATCACCATCACCATCACCATCATCATCATCATCATCATCATCGTCATCACCATCCCCACCGTCATCACAAAAGAAATCAGATTACAAAGGCTGTTACCATTATTCTGATGGCGGGTACAGCGTCAATTGAGTCACTCTCGTATTGGGTGCTTCAGATACGATAGATGTGTGTGTGTGTGTGTGCCTGTTGTGTTGTTACTGTTGACCTCGATTATTTTTCCTTTTTTCTTGTCGGTGCGTGAAGGCTGCCGGCAGCATGCCGTTTATGTTTTCCATGTTCAGTTTCCGAGCATGGTTGCTGTTGACTGTGCAGGGTTTCCTTAAAGATGGTTCCTGCGGCTCTACCCACTAGCTTCTTCAGAGATTCGGGAGCCTTGAGCATGAGGCGGTTTGTATGTCTCCAGCCACACAAAGCCCAAGGCATTCTGAGTGCCGCTGCTGTTCGCGTGTGTGCGTGTGCGCGCGTGCATCGATGTTGGTGCTGTCGCCATGGCCATCGTCATCATGGAACCAGTGGCTCTCGCTCATGCATTGTTGACTGATCATAAAAGTCGTTTTTTATCCAAAGCGTCATACCCTGAAGCCTCCAACCCCGAACCCTAAACCCCTCAACTCCTCGAACTCAGAACCCTCCCTCAAAGCCCTGGGAATCGTAGCTCCCCTAACTTGCAACCCTGTACGTCTAAAAATTAATGTATAGAAACCCTTGAAAGCGACCAGGATCCTTTAAAGCGATCCTTTAAAGGGCTCCTCTAAGGGGATCCTTTAAAAGGGATCCTGTAAACGGGTCCTACTGTTGATGGACAAAATCCTGCATGACCCATTATAAGGAATGTACCATAGTTCCCATAGTTTAGGGTCCTCAAGGTCATGCAGGATTTTGTCCATCAGCAGTATTAAAGGGCTCCTTTTAGGGCTCTAACTTGGTGATCGCCAGGCCGGACAGGCGAAGGACAAGGCGTCAATGTGCGTGGACGAGATCCAGGCCGCTTTTGCCTGTTTGATATACGGGCCTTAATAATTAGAATAAGGTTTTTGGGCCGATTATATATTATTTATAATAAGGAGCCCCCCAAAAGAAGATAGGTAATTATTTAGGCCTCTATATTAGGGTTTCTACGGGTTTAGGAGTCTTGGTTTAGGCTCGTCCTTGCTGTTGTGGTTGTTCTCGTTGTTGTCGTTGCTGTTGTGGTTGTTGTTGCCTGTTGTTGTTTAGGGCTGTTGTTTTTTTCAGAGAGTTGTAGGGGGTTAGGCTTTGAGAGTGTTCGGGGGTGCTGTTCGAGTTGGGTGTAGGGCTCTCGGGTTAGGGTCTTGAGGCTGAGGGTGTTACGGGTTAGAACTTGGGACTAGCGCCAACTGCTGTGAGAACGCGACTTTCTTTTCGGCAGGCCTTGCGCCGGAAAGCCGCAATGTCAAAATCTTCAGCCGCAAAGCCAGACTTGCGCCACAAGATTTGAATCTCTGAGCCCTGAGCCTGCAACCAGTCGCCAGGTGAGGGATGATGGTGTCTACTTCCGTCTCCAGCCGGGCCCCTTTCGGAAGGAGGAGAAACCTGTCGTGGTATGCATCAAATTTTGTTAGCACGTGTTCTATCGATCGACGTCCCTGTCCGACACAAGATTCGACCTATCTATCCACCTTTCTATGAACTTCTATGTGTCTACAGTATCTGTCTGTCTGTCTGTCTGTCTGTCTATCTAACGAACCGTCACAGTATGTCGCCATCTGTATCCCAGGTAGGAGCATGGCTACATTTACATGTGCTTATGAGTGCATTTGCATATACACATTTACACATAAACACAGACGTGTTTGTGTGGGCAGGTATACATATATGATAGGCCCACAGATTTCGTTCATGCATGCGGGTGTTCACATTCATGCCTGCATGGTTGTGTACAGAACGGTCACGAATTATTACTGTTACCCTAAACCCTAAACCACTATGGCTGGTAAGGAAATCTCGCTTTAGCTGCAGTTGGAAAAGAGCCCCGAGAAAGCTCTCATGAGTGTTGTTGCTATTTAAACCCCACTCTCAAACCGCTCATGTTTTGGGGTGCTCGAGGTGCGGCACCGTGCGCCTGGAGACGACGACCTTCCGCTTGGATCTCGCAGGAGGGTTCTGGTGTTTTTCATGGTTTTGTTTGGTAGTGCTTTTCAGTGATTCTGTGTTTCTTGGCAGGGTTTGCAGATTTTTTGTTGGGTTGTTTTAGGATTTTCATACTTTTTGTTTTTTTTGGTTTGAGGGTTGTCAGGAAGCTTGTAGGTTTCGCGGTTGTCAGGGGTTTGGGATTTCGGGGTTGTCGGTTTATTCATCAGCTCAAAGCCCAAAGGGTTGCAGGTTTTAGGGTTGAGGAAGCCAGGTGCGTGCGCAGACAGAAGCAAGGTGTTGCAGACAATGCCCGTGGTTGACCTCTGGGGCCACTAGGTAGTCACTAGTTGTGACTAGTAGTCACTCGCAAGGTTGCGGGCTTAGGATACTTCTGAGAATCGTCATCACCCTTGTTAGTGAGGCGGAGGATATTCGTCGGGACTGATCCGCATGACTCCTGAGCCACCCAGAGCCGCGCAGAGGGGAAGAGATAATAGTGCCATATCCTTTGATCAAACTTGAACCCTAAACCTTACACCCCTAAATAAAAGAACATATCGCTCGTTTTAGTAATGGCCACTGCATGGACTGTTATGGAAGTCTCTGGGTATAGAAAGCAACTCCGCAAGACAATCACAGACCCCACACCCTCGCCATTTCGCAGCCCCCAAATCTCGAAACCTAAACTGGAAACACCGAAGCTCCAACATCCTAAGCCCACCCCGAAACCTCTAAAGCCTCAAATACGTAATGAGACCCAAGGCCTCGAAGAGCAGCTTAAGCCGTAAGCACCATAGAACGTAAAGTATTACCAATTTAGAATCGTGGAAAGAAAACTATCCACGTGACTTGGAGTTTCGTAGGTGGCACACCAGCATACTCATAGATATACACGCACACACACACACACAGAGCCATAAGATAGAGCCTGCATGTACTGTAACTCCCTGTAATATAAGTAGTATACCTTCTACATTGTTGTTTTGTGTCTGTCTGTCTGTCTGTCTGTCTGTCTGTCTGTATGTATGTATGTATGTATGTATGTATGTGTGGACGTGTGGACGTATGTATGTATGTATGTATGTATGTATGTGTGCATGTATGCACGTATGTATGTATACACATGTGTACATATGCATACACATACATGTATATATATATACACACATATGTATATATATATATATATAAATACACACATCGATAATCATAATCTCCCCCTCTCTCTCTCTCTCTTTCTCGCTGTGTATGGGTTTACAAGTGAAGGCATACATACCCTTGGCTCCGAGCCTCAGCGACCCGAGGTGCGGACTCGTTGCAGCTCACAGCTCTCGAGCCCGAGGAGTTCATCAGCCCACCTGGGCCTGTTTGTAGGGGTTTGGGGTTTAGGGGTTTCGGGGTTTAGGGTTTAAATTTTCGGGTTCGGGTGTTTAGTTTAGGATTTAGGGCTTAAGATTTCGGGTTCGGGCTTTTGGGGCTTAAGGTTTACGGTTAGGGTTCAGGGTTCAGGTTGAGGGTTTACGGCTAAGGGTTTGCGGTTTGAGGGTCTGGCTCTAGAGTTCTATACAGCTGGCAAGTAGGTTTCTTATGCTACCCATGATAGCGGTGATAGGCTGATAGGCATTTGAATCACAATAGTACGAAACATAGTACTTGTAATATAGGGGTTGGGGGTTGAGGTTCAGGGTTTCAGGGTCTTGGCGCAAAGTTTAAGCGTTGGGATTCGAGGTGCAGGTTTCAGGGGTTTCCGGTTCTATTGGTAACATGAGTACAAGAACTATACACTTTCAGCAACGGTTCAGGCCGATAGGATACTTGGAGGATCATGGGACTTAGTAAGTAAGGCTGTAAGTACCCTAATTGGGGTTATAAGTATAGTTACCCTAATTATAACCCTAGTTACTAAGTCCCATGATCCTTTAAGTAGTTGTTCAGTCCTACATCCTCGCGGCTGAACTAGCATCCCTGAATCCCGAACACGACACCATAAATCCTGAGCCAGAAACTTCAAATCCGAAACCCTAAACCCCAGACCCGAAACCCTAAACCCCAAACCCTAAACCCCCAAATCCGAAGCTGAACGCCCAAAGCCGCTAATTCTAAACCCCTAAGCCTTCAGCCTCTTTTCGGCAGCTACAAAGCGTCTCTGCCAGGCAAGGTGGAATGCGTCGAGGTTGGGCTCAGGGCTTTGGGTGTAAGGTTGTTTAGGCTGAAGGGGTTGAGGGTTTAGGGTTTAGGGGTTTAGGGCGGTTTGGGGCAAGTATCAGGTCCTGAATTTTGGGGTATAAGGATGTGGGATTGGGGTTTAGGGTTAAGGGTTTTGGAAGTTCAGAACCCAGAGGGGTATTGTATGTGTCATGACCTCTTACTATGCTTTGGTTACTGTTCTGCTTCTTCCCATCCCCAAGCCCTAGACCCTTTGAAGCCCAAAACCCTAAACCTGAGATCTGTTAACTGGGCTTGAGCTGCAAAAGACATCTTACATAGGGTTATGGTCACGAATCCAGGAAATGGATCACACGCTCTGCATGATCCAAACTTACTACGCAGCACCCAACTACAAGCACCCAAAGACCGAAACCTAACCCCTCACAGAAAACCGTAGTAGAACCAGGTCAGATCTCTTTTTGCAACTCTTGAAGGAACCTTTTAGAAGCTGCCCATTAGTACCCTATCTGGAACCCTTGTAGTAACACTTATAGAGCCCTAAACGCCCACCCCAATCTGGCGATCGAAACCAGGACGGTCTGGAGATCAGCTTCAACACCGGCCGCACGGGCCACAGTTCTGATTCTTAAACTCCCTGAAGCGCTGCAGATTTGCACTCGAAAGCATGCAAAAACCCTCAAACCCCAAGCCCAAAACGGCGCCGGGCCCAAAGCCAAAACCATAAAGCCAAGAAGCCATAAAGCCAAGAAACGGTGAAAGCCTTAAAGCCCTGAAGCAACAAAGCCCTTAAGCTCAGTGGTACTGGCGGTAGTCGAAGCGGTCGTGGAGGTGGTGGTGGTGGTAGTAGTAGTAGTAGTAGTAGTAGTGGGAGTAGTATGAGTAGTAGTAGTAGTTGTTGTAGTAGTAGTAGTAGCAGTAGTATCAGTCGTAGCAGTAGTAGCAGTAGTAGCAGCAGCAGCAGGGTAGTAGCACCTTCGTGTTTGAAGCTTCCAAGCGTCCCTGCTGGAGCTTTGCATCCCACGAGGCGTGACGACACTGCCAGGAAAGGGCCCCCTCTTTGGGCCCTTCGAAGCGTGCGATGCCCTGCAGGGCAGGTTTACTGTTCAGGCTTGGCACAGGCTGTTTTTTTTTTTCAGGGGGTGTAGTCTATTGTTGGGGTTTGTGGGGGTTTGAAGTGTGGTTTGCTGGGTCTTTAGGTGGTGCCACTCTCTGTACTTGGAGGTTCATGGGTAGATATAAGTAGGGTTATAAGTAGGGTAACTATACTTATAACCCATATGAGAGGGCTTATAACCCCACTTATAACTACCCTAATCCCTAAACCCTAAATCCCTATAGAGCCCTTTAAAGGAACCCTTAAAGGAACCCCTATAACCCCACTTATAACTACCCATGAACCTCCAAGTAGGAGTTTGGGCTTTCACGTTTTCTCGTGTCTTCGGAGCCGCACGAGTGGAAGCTACGTGTCGCCAGGCTCTAGTCGTCTGGGGATGACGATGATGCTTTGGGCACTGCCCCCACTCAGCAACAGTTGAATAAAATACATCATATAGTAGTAATGGCATATTAGGACCCTAATAGTAGCCCGATTATAGACTGTTACTGTTTTGGGGCAGTACCTAAATGATGCTGATTGTCGTTGGAACGTTGATGATTTAGACAGCGCAGAGGTGCTCACTATTGATGTTGGCTATGCCCGTGATGGTCGTCGTCAGCCGTTTGGACGTGCCCGTGGCCAGAGAAGTGCATCGCCATGATCCAGCACATGAATCAACACAGAGGTTGGAACAAGCACACTTTGGAAGGCGACCCTCCAGGATACGCTGCCCGGAGAAGCTGTGCATGAATGTCGTTGTGGTCTGGCCAGTTGCATATACCGGCCATATTTGCTATTGAGTCGGCCATTTAACACAGCTGTGCATCCCGTTGAGGTCCAATCATTGCGACAGACAGACTTTCCAAACAAGCGGCCACCAAAGGAACGTTGCGGTCTTTTCGGATTCTCGGTGATAGAGCGCTGCCGTCCTCCTGAGGCCTCTGGGGTTCTACATCGACGGCCTCCGCGTGAAACCGATGGACGCAGCCGACGCCGGGGGCTTTCTTAGCAGATCAGGCTTTCAGGCCTGACCCAAAAGAAAACTCAAGCGCGCAGCCCCAAAGACTTAATACTGCTTTGTGTCACAGGCATCCGTGTGCAAAAGCCGAACGGCTGCCTCATGCTTTTGCAGCCGCTGTGTCCCCAGGAGTCTGGTGCGCAGGATTTCGTGACGGGAGTCGCAGGGTGCTCAGCTTCTGAATGGCCGCATCAGCGGCGTGATGGAGTGCCTGCGGGCTAGTGGTTGTTGCTAGTAAAGTCGAACGGTGCCGGAGGAGAGGGTCTGGGACGTTGGGGCTCAATGCTTTTTGAGCCATGATGGCTATGACGATCTGATCATGCATGCTGGCGCTTCTGTCATCAGTGTTGACTCTTGTGCTACCTCGCACAGAACTTGTAACCGGAATGTCGTTTCGGGAGCGGCGCTTTGGACGACCAAGTGTTCAAGACTTCAGCGTCCAGGGTCCAGGATTTGGGGCTTCACACCCCGGTCTATTGGCGAGACGTTTCCGATTCTTCAAGAAACAAGCACATAATTGAGAGCCCGCTCACGGTTCCATACGACGTTCAGGATATCAGATCACAATATTTAAGATAGGTTTTCATGTTATATTATACATAAATGAATAGTTATACTGTGCTGTATCACCGTATTAAAGTATGCATACCGTATTACTGTATTACTGTATTACCGTATTACTGCACTACTGTACTACTGCACTACTGTACTACTGTATTTCTGTATTACTGTATTACTGTATTACTGTATTACTGTTACTGTAACTGTTACTGTTACCGTTAGCGTTACTGTTACTGCTACTGCTGCTGCTGCTGCTGCTGCTGCTGGTACTGTTACTGCTACTGCTGCTGTTCATGTTTCGTTACTGTTTTTGTTACGATACTATACTATACTATGCTATAGTGTACGATAATATACATACTATAGCAAATTTACTATGATGTATTGAACATCTCTTGCCAAAGCCTGCAACCCCGACTTCACACTTTGCACCAATCTAGCGCACCAGATTCGGCAAACCCTAACGTCTAAAGTCCAAACGTGAGCCCCAGCCTTTAACTTTTAGGCTTTAGGTTTAAGGCTTTATAGAACCCTACCGGATCCGAAATGTCACGAAACCATACAAGCCACGACATGTGTAGAACCCGAAAAGACCCTGTTTCGGAACCCCTAAAGGATCCGCTCGCAGCCTCTAGAGGACCTCGCGCCGCTCCCCCACGCCGCGGAATACAGTGCTCCCAGTGCGCTGCTGTATACCGCGGAGCAAGAGCAGGGAGACCCGGAGAGCCCAGAAGATACTCTTGGGTTTGTTACGGGGTCCTTTAAGGGTTTCCGGAACCCTTTCGCGATTTTGGGGCGTTTTGAGTAGATATATTCGGATTCGAGTATTCGTGGCTTAAGGCTGGAGATTCAGGCTTTAAGGTATTTTAGGCCAGGCCCCAAACACCGTGCCGTTAGCTTTAAAGTCTCAAGGCTACAGTTCATGACGCAGTGTTTGGGATGTTATGGAGGGCTTTGGGCTCTAGAGCACGTGCTTCTGTTCTGTTGTCTCTGCTTACGTCGTGACGTGCTGAGTTTGGGGGTTCCGGAAGATCTCCTGCCAGGCAGTTTTCAGGGGAATTGCACGAGCCCTCTCCAGGCCTCAAGGCCTTTCTAGGAAGAGTTGGAAACAATTTCGGAAAGGAAGAGCTCAAGGTGTAACACGTTATCAATTTGCAGCAACATGGGCAGCTGCTGCGGTCACCTCTGTTGTAGCATCAGCAGAGGCTGTTGCTGATAGCAGTTTTTGCGATTGTACTAGAAACTTCCAGCACTGCTCCTGGTCTTGCTACTTGCTGCCGCAGCTACTGCTGATGCTGGTCCTCCTGCTGCTGCTCCTGCTGCTGCTCCTGCTGCTGCTGTCTGTTGCGGTTGCTACAGCTACTTCGGGTACTGCTGGTACGACGACGATGAGGCTCAGGATGTGCAGTTCGAGAAACTGAAATCCTGCACCACGAGCCTTCACCTTGAACTGGTGGAAAAAACCCTTGCACCGCAGAATTGAACAGGTGAAGCTCGAAAGCCCAAAGCGACACTCTCAGTCCTAAATCCAACCTCGATCGTACCCTAAAGTTCAAAAGCCTTAAATCAGCTTTGTCTGATTTCCCGATTCCGAGATATCTGCGGTCCTTACGGGAGATCTTGGCGAAGGCTTCTTACTTTTTACTTGAGAGGGACCTTGGGCTTGCGGCATGCAGGTTTTGGCATGAGTTCTAGTGAAAGCCGTAAGATTTGTAATTATGACAATACTAGTAGTGATGATCATCATAGTTGGCCCTATGTGACAAGCGTAGTGTTTGTTGGAAATTGGGAGTTCGGGATATCCCGAGCACCCGGAACCGCCAGCCCTACATGGATCAGGACATGCCCGCAGGGCTCCCGGAACTCCCAAAGTTCTAAGCCCTAAACGCTAAACCCTAAACCCTAAGCCTTGAGCCCTAAAGCCTAAACCCTAAGCCCTGAACCCCGAACCCTAAACCCTAAACTTCATGTCCTGGAATTGCCGGCCGTCCTGGGTTCTTTGGGCAAAGCGTGTTATGAGGTTTTACAGTTTTTTATTTAGAGGTGTTGTAATGTAGTGAATAGTGTGCCTGCCAAATCATGTTCGCTGTGCTTAAGCTTCTGACCAAAAACTTACTAACCCTGAACCACAGATGCCCCTGGTCCCGAAGAGCTCGTGTTTAGGGAAGGGTGCTGGCAGGACAGAGGTTGGACCCGCCTATAATACCTCCTAAACCCCCCCAACGCCCAAACTCAAAAATCCCCAAGACGTTAGCCCCAACCCTGAAGCCCCGACGTGAAAAAACTCTTATCTTCAAAACAGCCTACGACCTCTCCCCCGGACCTCTCAGCCTTAAGAAGCCAAGAGCCTTCCTTCCGAAGGCGGCTGTGGACGTCAATGCCTTCGGTGCAGGAGGCCCTAAACCCTAAGCCGGAATGGAAGAATGGTAGTAATGGTAGTTGCTGGAGCGAACCAGCATGCTGAGAGGTAGACACAAGTGGAGTAGCTAATTCCCTTGTCCCATACTCCCCAGAACCCGCCATGGCTCACTCAGTAGGCGGAGATTTTACACGCAAGCGAACAAGAAAGGAAACGTGAAGTCTGTGCTACCTTGGACATGGCACCTACAACTATGGTACATGTGTTTTGTTTAAAAGCATGCTCAAGGCTCAAACTGTGCATAGCCTAAAGAGCGACGGAAAAATGAACATGTACAACTGGCATGAGCTGCAAAGGTGGCATGCACTTCAGCACTCCTCCTTCGCGGCCCCGCCAGGGAGCTGCGACCTACTTGCTACTGCAGGTCCAACCCGTCAGGGTGACGACACACCTACCCTGAACTACCTGGCAAAAGCTGGGCCAACTGCCCTCACTATGCGAGGGCTCTCAAGGCACCTCGAGTGGGAAAAAGACACAGCTACGGATGAGCTCACTGAGAGATCCAACCCGTTAGGGTGGAGTAGTTCCTACCCTGTGCTGTGCTGGGTGTGGTCTGCAGCGCTCCCGTGGCACTGCTGGCACACTTGAAACTCAACAAACCTGTGCGAGTGGGCGAGCGTGGAACAGGTCTTAGCGCGGTGGAGCTTGGTCCCTTCGGGTGTTGCAAAGTAACGCGTTGGTGCTCCACCTGCCTGCTCACGCGTGCGAGTTGTTTGTGAGGGGCGGCGTCTGGGCGCTGCAGCAACAGACTGCGAGCTTGCTGCCTCCTCACGTGCAGAGATCTCGGCCTGGATGGCCTGCGCAGTTTGATCTCGAAGGCGCTGTAACTTGCGCGCCTTGCGGGGGCTCAGAGACAACACGGGTGTCCCTGCCTCTCGGCGGGAGATGATGCCTTGAAGGCACCACTTGAAGAACTCCCACACTGCAATGAAGCAGATACCAATGCAGATGATGGATACTGCCAACATCAAATCTGCATCAAGCGACACGGGGAGAGACAAGTCTTCTTCCTCGTCCGTTGTCTGGCTGGCAGCACCTACGACCTGAAAGAAGGCGAGCAGGACAGCGAAGGCACTCAGCTGCAGGTCTTGCTGCGCCACGGTCCCAGTGCCCACAGCTTGAGTTTCACTGTAGGCCTGAGCTTCCGCCCGGCGAGGTACGCCATGCTCAAGCAAACCCCAGATGGCTGCGAGCTCAAGGATCCTCGCAGATGGCAGTGCTTTCGTCAGAAGATCTGCGGCCTGCTCAACACCTGGGCAGTAAACAGGGATGATTTCTCCTGCCTCATACTGCTCGCGCAAGTAGTTGGCGCGCACCCTCAGGTGGCGGGTTCGCCAAGACCCGTGACCGATAGCGATGGCCAGTGCAGACTGTGAGTCAACCCTCAAAGTCTTGTCGAAGCTAGAAACCCCGAACTCACTCAGCATGGCCTCTGCTGACTGAAGGGCAACTACAGCGTCAAGTCCAGCAACAAGCTCGGCTTCTGCGGTGCTGAGGGTGACAAAAGACTGTCGTGCTGAACGCCAGCACACCGGCGACCCGTGAAGGAAAACCACCCACCCCGTGTGAGAACGACGCGATCAATCCTGTGTCATCCGCGTCAGCGGTGAGGGATAGCGCCTTGGTACGCTGCACATACGCAAGGGCCTTTTCTGCAATGCGGATGGCTCGTTGCGGCGCCTTCGTGCTGAGAGAGGCAAGCACACAAGCAGTGAAAGCTAAGTCAGGCCGGGTGCGCTGGCTCAGCCACAGGATTTCTCCAGTCAGTCTCTGCGCTGTTCGAACCGTCTCCTCGGTTGGGGACTCGTCCGTCAGGAGAGTGTCAAACGAAACAAGGTCACGCGGACAGGGGACCTTACCTAGTGCAGTGGGCTTCACGTTGTTGAGACGCAGCAGCTCTTCGGCGTAAGCCTGCTGGGACAACACAAACCCGGAACCTTGCACTAGGATTTCAACACCTAAAAACCTCAGCGGGTGCTCTGCGGTGGCAAGTGCGAGAGGCGTCGTTTTCCAGATGCCCTGGATGGCCGTAGCCAAGGCTTCGATCACCTCTTTACTGCCTGCAAGCAAAAAGTCGTCAACGTAAGTGAGCAACCCTCCTACGACTACCCCGTCCGAGGTGCGAACAACACGCCACCAGTTTGGGTCCAACCTTCCTTGCTGGAGCTGCAGCTCAACTCCGTCAACAACACACCTCAGCGCCCGAAGTTGGCAGTCCCTGAAGTCCGACCAAAGCTTGGGCGACTCCCTCAACCCGTACACAGCGTGCGTGAGGATCCAAAGCTCCCCTTCCTCTGCCAAACCTAGTCTCACTAGCAACCTAGGCGGCGTGAGAGCAAACACTGGAAAACCTCTGCCTTGCGGGATTGGGGTCAACAGAAAAGCTGAGGTGACATCTAGAGACCCGATGCACCAATTCCTCTTGGAGCTGATGATTACAAAACAACGGAGTGTCTCTGCAGCAGCACCTGAAGCGTAGACTTCGGACCCCGTGCCTGGGGCGTGGTTGCCACAAGCAACCAGGCGAGCCTTGCGCTTGTGGTAAGCCTGACCCTTCCGGGTAGCGAGGGAGGCTTCAGCAGGGTCTGGTGGCTTGACTGTGAACACAAACTTAGACGGAACCACCTTCACTTCCTTGCGCTTTAGCCAACCTCCGGAACGGACCTCTGCAGGGGGCAGTCGCCGCACAGCCTTCTCAATGACACCGATCTCCTTGTGAATGGACGGCATCCACTTCTCGATGCATTGCTCTGCATCCCGAGGGTCTACAGTGTGGACTACCTGCAGTGGTTCTTGCAACCCGTCAAGCAACAGCTCTACGTTGGTAGTGTAAACCGGCTCAGACTTGCAAAGGGCACAAGCTTCACTCGCGTCCGAGTCGTCAGACCTGAGAACACACAGCTGCTCACCTGTCTGCGGGTGTGGAACCCACAACTCCCACAGCACTGGTTGTTCCGGCAAGGAGTCTTCGCTTAAGCCCTCCTCCTCCTCCTCAACCTGTGTCTCGGTGTCTGGTTGGCAAGCCAGCAGGGCGTGCTCAGACTGGGTTCGCCTTTGGTCCGGCGAGTGTTTCAGGTTCCACGACACCTCCAGCTCTACAGTACCTGCTTCTACGGCTTGGGTTTCTTTCCAACCTCCGCCTTTAAGCACAGTCCCAGGCGCTAACTCAGAAGTCTTCCCGTCAGGGTGACGTGCCTTTGTCTCCTGAAGGGGCTCTTCTTCGAAGCAGTCAAACGCGTCTAGACGTCTCACGTCTTGCTGCTCAGTCAGCGGTAACCGACGCTGGGAGTGGAAAACCTAAAGCTTCAAGGCTTTGAAACTCGTGCTCAAGCTCTTTGCCTAACGTGTTGACAGTGTAGCCGACAAGCACTGCTCTCTCACCCTTCCAGGGAGTGGTGGCATGGCGGCGAGTAGGGTCTAGGAAGAAGGGCTTACCGCGCTCTAACTTGTGAGTTGTCCCTAACCAGCGCCTACCTTTGCCGTCTACCCGCTCCTCTACAGGGCCACTGACTAGGTCACCAGGCTTGAGTTCTATCCACAAATCCCCTCCGTTAGGCGGGAGCTTCAAAGGGAGGACTACATTTGTGGATCCCTGCAGGTTGTGGTGGTCGGCGTGCACGGGTTGAACAGTGGAATTAGACAACCAAAGCGAGGTGTACTCAGCTGTGGGTGCAACTGCGGAAAGCACCATATTCATAAGCTCTGTCAGCCAAGGCTTATCTGTGGTACCCCCTAAAACTCCTACGACACCTCCGTGACGGTACAACCCAGCTTTGTGTTGCAGCTGGGGCGCTGCTCTGCACACTTCGGCTAACACCCACAACGCTTCATCAAGGTCCCAGTCGTCCTCGATAAGCTCCGTAGCTAAACCTTCGAGGTCTTGCAGACTCAAGCGCGCTACACGGGCAGACTCCTCCTCAACCGGTGACACAGGCCCTTCCGGGTGTGGAGCTTCTGCTGGCGGCGGCAAGGGAGGCGGCGGGTCAAGTGCAAAGACGTCGTCAAGTCTCACACCAGCAGACCGCTTGCCGCGAACCCTGCGTGGAGGTGGTGTGTGCTCCTCCTCAAGCGAGTCTCCTACAAACTGCAAGGGCGGTGGATCCGGAGAAACAAGGCGGGTGCGAACATGGAGTGTTTGCACAAAGCCGTTGCCAACACCATCGCTGCGCAACACGATGTGACCATCATTCACAGATGGTGACAACCCCATATACTTACCTTCAACCCATCTATCCTCCAAATCACCCTTCTTGCTGAAAAACTTTCGCTTCACGGAACACTTCCCTCCAAAATGGATGGCAAGCTTAGACTTCATGCCCAGCTGCTGCGCCCGTTGCTGAGCCGCAGCTGTCATGATTGCACAAGGCCACAAGGAAGAGTCAACCTCGCCAGAGGTGAGAAGGGTTCGTGCTCGTGCTTTGAGCCAGCGCACGGTGTTCTCAGCAGAGCCGTTCTGCTGCGGAACGTCCCCTTCTGTTGTTGTTGTGCGGACTCCACGCTCGTGAAACCAAGCTCGAGTCCTTTTGTTGAAGAACTCACGACTGCGGTCTGTGTGGAAACGAAGCACGGGGAGGTTTAGGGACCTTAGGGAAATGTACACCTGTTGGAGGGCATTTAGGATATCATCACCCTTGTTTGTGTGAAGTGGCACTGCAAACACCAGCCTCGCCATGTCAGGCGGTGTTTCGAGTTCACACCTGGCTGACTCCCAGGGATGCTCCTCGGCAACTTTGGCTGCAAACTCCCTAGGCCCTTCAACTCCTTCACCTTCCGCCTCCTCCTCTTCTTCCGCTAAACTTGGCTCGTACAGGGAGTCCTCGTAATCCTCGTGCGGGGGGCCTTCTGCTGCGGGAAAGGCCTCATCTGCAAGGTCATCCGTCCCTCCCGGGAGGAGTGCTGCATCATCAAACCCCTCGGTTTGGCTGGGGTCTGACTCCTCCTTCACTCCTTTGAGCCGTGGGAAGCGGTACGACACAGCGAGGAAGTACTTGAACGTGGCTGGTCGGTGGTTGCGGCTTTCTGGGTCTTTGCCCTTCACACGGATGGGCCCCGCAATGTCGGCTGACATGCAATACACATCCGGGTGAACTACACCGTGGTGGCGGCGGCCGTTTCCGGCACCGTGCACGCAAACTGCACAATCACGGCGGTACGGCACGTGATTGTTCGCAACATGCTGTTCCCAATCCGCTTGGGTGAATTTCATGATGCGGTAACAGGGCCAACGTTGGAGCGCGTACACGATGGCTTGCACAAACCCCGGCGCCCACACTGGAGACACACGGCTGTCGGCGCTACCACAAACCTGCGATACCTCACCCTGAAACGCTTGCAAGTCTCTAAGGTCGGGCAAGTTGGTGCCAACAGTTGTGGGTTTATCGCCCGCGTGCCCCAACGGACCTTGACGGAAATGCACCTCAAACAAACCAGCCTCTTCAGCGTAAGTTTGCCACAGCGCGGTATTCCAAAACGACGGGGCGCTACCCACAGCAGAATGGCTTGAAGCCATGTGGTGTTCAACCGACGGTTGCTCCAACATGAATGCCACCATGGATGTTCCATCCGACGGGTTAGGGTGCACACGCCTCCCGGCGGTGGAAAGTGCATGCAACCACAACATGCGAGCATACAAACCCGTATCACGATCAACGAGATCACGCTCGTCAGAGGTGAGAGTGCTCAGGCCAAACGGTTCAGTGGGCGAGCGGAGTGGATGTGGTCCATCGGCGCGGTGCCCTGACATGGACCAAGTGCGGGTTGGTGGACCTCCAATGACCGCCGCAACTCGTCCCAACTTTGCAACCTTAGCAAGAAGCGTCCAAAGCGGATCATGGTAAAGATCTTGGCTCCTTGAGCGGCAAATGTCAAGCTCAACAACAACTGTATCCTGCGACTCCAATCGTTTGAAAGCCTTGTGCGAGCCAGGGCCCGCAAACAAGTGAACAACCCAATTGGATGCTCGATGAAGTGCCTTCCTCCTTCGCCGGTTGAGGTTTGGCATACCTTCTTCAAGAGCTTTCCACAAAGTCTTGGAGTCCACATCTTCCGATGGGAGTAGGCCTGACAATGCACGATCGGGCACATCCTGAAAGAATGGCGCCGTGGATACTGCCATGTGGCCCGCTGCTGGCGCTGACGAGCTAACATGCTCCACCAAATGATCCCACCATGTGCGCTGCATCGCGATTTTCGCCTGTCTGATGCGATCCTTCCCCTCATCCGTTCTTCGCCTGAGCTCCTCAACCTGTTGCATTTTGTGTTCCTCCAACCGTGATATCAGCGTAAGGGCCTGGCTCTCTACCAATTCCGGGCAACCATTTTTGACCCTAAGCCTCAACGACTTACCATCGGGAGGATACAGCTTGCAACTACCGGCTGACCAAACCAGTTTATACCCAAGTTGCTCGATGATTGCGCCCATTGGGACTATTGGCTGCACTAGGCCATCCCTCCCGGGAGGCAGGAGCAAAGTACCTGAGGATGTGAGCCGCATTGTTGTGGTGGTATCGCCGGCTAGGCTCACCTGTACTTCCGATGCGGCCTCCCACTCCTCCTCATCCATGGCCTGCCTCATGGCATGGGTGGCCCCAGAGTCCAAAAGCGCATATGCTATGGGTTTGGGGGCCTCAAGCAACCCCCCATTCTCGGCTCGAGAATGGGGGTTTGCCAAACTCTGATTTTTGGCATTTCCCAACCCCCGGGTTGGAGCCTCCTGATGGGGGGGTTGGGAGTCCCGGTTTGGGAGACCCGAAACCGGGAAACAGCTTGCGGGCACGACTGAGCGAATCGTGAGCCTCTTCACCGAAGGATTGGGTGCAGACGATGCGGGCGCAGCCGGTGCCGGTGGCACTGAGGGCTGCTGCGATGCAGTACTCAAGCCTTCCGGCTGAGGTTGCGGCGGCTGGGCTTGCGGCGTGGTGCCGCTGCACGGTGGATTGGCCTCTAACTGCCTCAAAGCCTGGACTGCCTGTTGCATGAAGGTGTCCATGTTGAGCACTGGCGTGGCTTGGACAACGGGTTGGCCCGAGGATGTGGAAGCTGCCTGTACGGACGGTTTCTGATCTGGTGCTTTGGGTTCCGCCTTACCTGCCTTGCAATCCTTAGCACGATGCTCCTCGGAGCCACAATTCAAGCACTTCTTAAACCGTTCCGCTTTAGACAACTCGCTCATGGAGTGGGGGCTTTTGCATTTGGTTCCAAACCTGCACCCCTTTGGCGAAAGGAAATACTTGCATGTATTGCCAGTCCCTCCACCTTTGGCTCCACCACTCCCCTTTCCCCCCGATTTATCCCCTGCAACACCCGCTGCCTTCAATGCTAGGTGACCTGATCCACCCTTTTTGGCAACCTGAGCTCCAGCCAAAGTCTCAAACTCGGCCAACAAATGTTTGTGGTAGGATTTGACCGCCTCTTCCGAGGGTCGACCGTGCAATTGCAGTGCACTTTTCACCATCTCGGTTCGCCATGAAACCTCCGGTTCCTTAGAGATGACGGGCTTTGTCATTGAGGTTAGGCCTCCCACCAACACCATTGGGTCCGGCAAACTCATACCAAAGTCTATGCACCTTTGATACCACCGTCCCCACGCCCTCAATGCTGACACACCTGAGGCTGCATCCTGCACCACATGGGGATTTTGCAAGTTGCTCAACACCAGGTTGCGTTCCCCTATTCCCCCGGGCTGGTAGGTCGTGTACAGCCTAAACAGGATTTGCGAAGCAGCTTGATTCGCCTTACGAGCAATGATATCGGATTTCACTGTGGGGTCCAGGGCATCCAAAAGCATCGCGCATGCACGTGCATTCACTCTTCCCCACTTGCCTTCGGTAAGCTCTGGCCTCTCGTCAGGCTCAAGCGTTAAGCGCTCAATGGGGGATGCGACGACCCACTTATCGTACGCATCTTTGCTTACCTGGACTACCCCTGCCCACCATAGTTGAGAAGAGTCCGAAAAGTCACTCATCAAACCCGCAATAAGCTGCAACCAATCCTGGAATTCCAGCGAGCCTCCAGCTGGATCTGGTGGGGTTAGTTTGGGAAAAGTTGTGATGCCCGTTTTCACCGTTTCAGGGGCATCCTCCTTCTTGCTACTGCTAAGGTGCTGGGCTTGCAAAGTTTGCAGTTGCTGCACTCCCAACAATACGGCATCAAGTACGGTGTTACCTGATGTGGGAGGGCCTTGGGTTCCCCCCGGCGACACACTGGCTGCTCCTACTGGCGCCGTGCTGGCCTGAGCAGCTGAAGCCTGGGGAATTGGGGCACTAGCGGCAGCAACTGACTGGAAACCAGAGCCCGAAGCCCTGATCTGGCCCAAACCCGGGTTTTCGGCTCGAGAATGGGGGTCTGGGCCAGAAGAGGTGGAATCCCCTTGCAGCCCTTGCACACCCGATAATGCGCTGCTTGGCTGCCCAACCCTTCCGGGTGGCGCTGCATTGCTAGGTAACCTTTGGGAACCTTGCAACCCCGACCAAAAGTTGGACCATAAGCCTGAAGTTGCTGAAGCTGCCGTTTGAGCGGGCGCTCTCAAAGCCTCAACCGCCTGCGCTGCAGCATCATGCACTTGATACGCTATTGGAGTGCGCACTTGCGCATCCTGAAGGGGTGGCCTGGGAACCTCAACAAGGGGTGTCGTTGGAGCCATTGGGGCACTACTGGTCATTGCCACTTCTCTCCTTACCTGTTCCCTAAGAGCTTGTTCCCTTTGGGCCGCCTCCTCCAGTTGCCTCCGCATCCTCTGTATTTCCAAGTCCTGAGCCTGCGCCCGTTGATCAAACCCCGCTAGCTGCCTTGCAACCTCAGCTTGAATCGCTTCTTGGGGCAGGGACGATGAGTCTGTTCTCGATGGGGGTTTTTCGGGCAGGCTACCGTAAAGTAAGGGGGCCCTCTGTTCTAAAGCTTGCATGCGCTGCAACATGTCCGCGCTCAACAAGGAGCCATCCCTTCCAGGAGGCGGTGCAAAGGAAGTGGGTGTACCATGCGCTCCCAACTGTGGTGGCGAGCTACTCTGCGAACCGAAACTCCCTTCTCCCAGAGCCAATTGCCTTGGAACACCGCTGGGACTATCACGTGATTGTGATGTGATTGCTCGTGGTGGTGTGGCGTGTGTGCCTTGCGCCACTGCGGGTACCTGCACCACCTCAGTGCGCGCTACACGGAAAAAGTCCCCAACTCGCGTCATAAGCTGGAGCCCTGTACCAGGGAAGCCCTCAACCATCTCAGCTATGGTTGGCAATCCCTGCTGTGACCGTGGGGTGACAAACCCCTCCGTGGAAGCACCAGCGACTACTCTACCCCCTGGCTCTGCGTCACCACTCGCGGTACCTAACATGCCAGTGCTGGCCTCTAGCCCTGGACTCCCGCCCGGCGCGACATTGCCGGGTATCGGCACAATCATCTGTACCTCATCACCGCCTTCAGTGGCAGTCGACACCTGTGGCATTCCCCCTGAGTCTGCGCAAGCCCCAGTCTGGTCTATGCCTCCAAGTGCCCCTCCCGTAGCCATAGGTTCAAAACCCATTCCACCTGTTTGGCCATGCACAAGTGTTGGCGTTGAACCTGTCTGAATACCATCCCTCCCGGGAGGTGGGGATGGATTTGCTGTAGTGCCATAGCCCTGCCCAAGCGTTGGGCTCATAACCTGCTGGAGCGAACCAGCAGGCTGAGAGGTAGACACAAGTGGAGTAGCTAATTCCCTTGTCCCATACTCCCCAGAACCCGCCATGGCTCACTCAGTAGGCGGAGATTTTACACGCAAGCGAACAAGAAAGGAAACGTGAAGTCTGTGCTACCTTGGACATGGCACCTACAACTATGGTACATGTGTTTTGTTTAAAAGCATGCTCAAGGCTCAAACTGTGCATAGCCTAAAGAGCGACGGAAAAATGAACATGTACAACTGGCATGAGCTGCAAAGGTGGCATGCACTTCAGCAGTAGTTATAATTGTACCCCATTTCTCCATTCCCTACTAACCCTAAACCCGAAACCCTACAGAGGGGATCTTCTTGGGTTCGGGTTTAGGGCCTGTAAAGCCCGGGGGGTTTTAAGGCTCGAGGGCTTTCTGGTCCTTATTATGGGGCTTAAAGCGTAGGGGTTTTGGATTTGAGGGTTTTGGGGCTTGAGGGAATTCTGGGCCTTAGTTTTTAGGGGCTTAGAGCGTAGGGGTTTTGGATTTGAGGGTTTGGGGCTTTAGGGCTTTCTGGGCTTCAGGGGGTTCGGGTTTTTCTCCGGGCTTTAGGTTTAGAGTTGAGGCTCAGACACTCTGGGTTTAGAACTTTCCGGGTTTGGGAGTCATTTAGGTGCGCCCAAAGCCAAACGCACTTTTGCAGAGTTCGGAGTACAGGTTTCCAATTTTTTGGGGCTTTGTGGTTGAACCCTAAACCCTAAACCCTAAAAGTTCAGAACAAGGGACCAGGGTTTTCGGGTTTACAAGTTTGGGCCTCGAGGTTCCAAGATTTGCTTCTTGCTTCAGTGCAGGGTTCCTGGCTCCGGTGTGGATTTATACTTAGAGGATCATGGGACTTAGTAAGGAGGGTTATGATTAGGGTAACTATACTTGTAACCCTAATTGAGGTACTTATAACCTAAGTCCCATGATCCTCCAAGTAATCTTGGTTTCAGCGTCTCGGATTGAGATGATTGGGGCGGTTCTGCGTTGAGCTGTGGTCGTATTAAGGGGACTTGAGGTCTTGAAGAAGGGGACATGCGCACGCCTGGGAGGCTTTTGCTGGTTTTCTGCGCAGAGGGCAAGAACTGGCCCTCTGCGAAGAAAGACATGCTCTTCGTGCAGTTGGGCAGTGGGTCTGTTGCGTGAAACATGCTCCTCATGTCGTAGTTACCCTATTATGCTGCTGCTTATGCTAATCGTAACCCCCAAATCACAGTGAAGCAACAGTTGAAACCTCAGAAACACCCAAACAGACACTGAGCCATGAAAGGCCCAAGGCCTAACCCTCAAAGCCCTGCATCCAATCTCCCGAGGCTTCACCCCTACCCCCTAAACCCTAAACCCCTAGACCCTGAACCTTCAACCTCAAACCCTAAACCCCTAAACCCTAGACCCTAAACCCTAAGCCCTACACCCCTAAACCCTGGACCCAAACCCCCCCAAACGTGTGGAGCCAGGCGTGACAGCCCTGATGCTCGCTGCTTCCAGGGGAGCCACGGGGTCCATGCGGATGCTGATCAGTTCCAAGGCTTGTCATATGTGTATATATATATATATATATAGAGATAGATAGATAGAGAGAGAGAGAGAGAGAGGTATATATATATATATATATATATATATATATATATATATATATATATATATATATATATACATATATATACACATACATATATATATATATATACATATATATATATATATATGTATATATATATATATATATACATATCTACATATATATATATATAT